CTAACCCTAAACTTCTCCAGCTCATGGGCTTCCCTTCTCCTTGGTCCCTCTCTGGGTCTTCTTTGTCCACACTCCTCTTGCCTCTCTCCTCTCACTATTCAATTCCTTCTGCTGGACTTGTTTACAGACTACTCTCTCCCTGCTCTGGACTCTCAGGTGCTTCTGGCTGCACACTGCTTAGACCAGAATGGTTATGTCCTCACTTTAAATATCTGGTGCTGAATTCCCACTTGATATAAATACAATGATAATGTAGAGGCAGGGGCATGTGCCAAGCTGAGGCAGGAGATCAGATTCCAGGCAGCCTGGGTTTGAGAGCTCTGTTTTCATACCAATCAAAGGCAGGAGCTGGGTATGTGGGAGAGCTGGTGGAGACTGAACCCTGGCAAGGTGGCTGGGGTGCAGGGACCTGCACTGTCCCTACTTCATTTTCACATCCAGAAGGTTCTGACCTCTGGGCCAGGACGTAAACCCACACTGACCCAGATGCACAGCTGCCTGCAGTCGTAACTAGATAGGAAAATATGCTCTGAAGAACCGAGGAACCCAGCTCTTCCTCCTAGGTCAGTTTCCCTGCCTGTGAACGTAGTGAACAGCTGGCAGGGCAGTGGACCCCAAAGTGGGGGGACAGTGACCAGGAGTTCAGGCCTGGGTCACTCCATAACCTTGGTCAGTCTCTCCACTGGCAAACAGTGTAGTCACTGATAACTCCACCAGGCCTCAAGATCCAACAGGGACAGATGCTGGTTCCTGAACCACAGGACAGTGGTCTCAGCACAGGACTGTATGGAAGGAGTAGCTAGCTTCTGCTTCCCCCTTCCTTCCCCTTCCCCAAAGCCTCACTTCAGAACAGTGGGGCAGGGAGCTGGACATCAGGGAGGATGCCCCTGAACCTGCAAGTGGAGCTGGATGGTTACAAGGGGCATGTTTCATGACAACCTGTGTGTGCATGTGTACTTTTAAGTCACTCTGTGTGAAGGTCCAAGTTTGCCAAATTGATGCAGGTCTAGTCTACACAGAAACTTCCAGGCCAGCAGAGCTGTGTGGTGAACCCTGCCTTTAAAAGCAAAGTAAACTAAGAGACTGGATGATTAAGAGCACTGGCTGCTCTTCAGAAGCCAGGGTTTGGTTCCTAACAATCAATGGTTACTCAACCATCTATAACCCCAGTTCCAGGAGATTTGATGCCCTCTTCTGGCCTCCAAAGGAACCAGGCATGCATGTGGTACATATATACATGTAGGCAAAACAGCCATACATAAAATTAAATAATTTTTAAAATACAGCATTTTAAGTGGAAACTACGTGCAGAGCACCCTTGGAAAGGACAGGTCTCTGTTCTGCTCTACAGTGGCCAAATATTCCCAAGGAAACACAGTCAGGAGCTTCTGGTGGTTTCATGTTGCTGGGGTTCACATGTGCCTGTCATTTGACTATGTAGGTATGGGAGGAGGGGACCCTCCTGCTCTATTCTGATTGCACCTGGTTTGTGTTGAGTCAGGGCCTGTGTCCCGAGCAGTCATGACCATGTGTGGCCAGTACACACACCTTGCTATCTGGGTTTTGTTTTCCATGTTTCACTTTATTGTTTAGACACAGCTTCAAGCCTCCCTGGACCATGGAAGCTGAATGAGGAGCAATCTCCTGTATGAACAAACGCATTTCACCATCACATGGCCCTACATTCAAAGTCACAGGGTGTGCTGGATGGTTATGTCAACTTATCACAAGCTGGGGTCATCTGAGAGCAGGGAACCACAATTAAGAAAATGCCTTCATAAGTGGATCGTAGGCAGGACTTTAAGACATTTTCTTAATTAGTGATCGATGGGGGAGGGTCCAGCCCACTGTAGGAAGTGCCATCCCTGGCCTGGTGGTCCTGGGTTCTGTAAGAAAGCAGCTGAGCAATTCAGTAAGCAGCACCCTCCATGGCCTCTGTATCAGCTCCTGCCTCCAGGTTCCTGTCCTGTGTGAGTTCCTGTGCTGAGTGCCTTCCATGAACAGTAGTGTGGAAGTGTAACCCAAATAAACCCTTTTCTCCCCAACTTGCTTTCTGGTGATAGTGTTTCATCGCAGCAGTTGGTATCATGTTGCTGTGACAGACCTAACCATGTTTTTGGGAGGACTCTGAAACTTTTGAGATAGAAAAGGCCATTGAGCTGGGTGTGGTGACACTCCAGCACTCAGAGGCAGTAGATAGATCTCTCTGAGTTCAAGGCCAACCTGGTCTATAGAGTGAGTTTCAGGACAGCCAGGGCTTCACCTCTGTCTCTCAAAACAAACAAAAATGCAGAAAAATAAATAAAAATTAAAAAAAAAAAAAGAGATCAACATTGTTGAGGTGGTATCTTCTGGAAAGTATTTTCTGATAGCACACTTCAGCTGTGTTCCAGAGGTGGCTGATGTAACTTGGTAGTGTAAGAGAGACCTAGGTTGTACTAGTTTTGAAGACATGAAGGGGTCATGGAAAGCAGCTGAAACCTGGCACTGTGAAAGCCTATGAGAGATTATTGGTGAAGGTGCAGCCCTGTTGCTGCATTAGACCTCAGCATTTTGGAGATGCCAGTAGCTATGGAGTGAGGTCAGCTAGAGTCTGGAGGAGCCCAGAAGATCACGAGTGGAACCCAGACGTAGGCAATGTGTCAACACAGGTGGGAGTTCAGTTTTGCTTTGCTTTAACTGTGACTGTGCTCTGCTTCTTCCCTCTTCAAGAAAATATCTATTTTACCACTGAGACTCATTTTTTGGGATGATTCCTTTTTATTTTTTTGTTCATTGGTGTTTTGCTTGCATGGATGTCTGTGTTGTGGGTGTCACATCCCCTGGAACTGGGAGTTGTGAATTGCCATGTGAATGCTGGGAATTGACACTCCAGAAACCTCCAGAAGAGCACCCAATGCTCTTCTTAATCTTTGAGCCATCCCTCAGGCCCCCAGAAGCTTTCAGATTTTAAGAGAGACCTGTAGAGCACATGGGGCCTGGGAAGCAGCCATTGCCTGGCCTGGGGACTACATTATCAACCTGGGGTAGATGCCATGAAGTCCAGGGGATAGGATCACTGGGCTGGAAGACACCTATTCTAGGGACTGCTAACACTGTTATCAGGGATGGGGGCACTCACCATGAGGGCTGGAGACACAAGTATCTAGGGACACTTGGTACTGGGTCTGGGTTGACAGACTGTAGCCAGGGCCTGGAGATGTGTGTTGTCAGGCCTCTGAATGTCTTTAGTGAGGCCTGGATCTAGGGCCACCTGTCATCAGGGCTACAAAAACCTAATGTTGTCAGGCCTAGTTATGCAATGTTACCTTTCCTGCCCTCTTGACAGGGCTGACTTTTTGAGACAGTTTCATTCTGTGACTCAGCATATCCTCCTGCCATGGTTTCCTTAGTGCTGAGATTACAGACATGAGTCACTATACCCAACTCATGTCCTATTCCTCCACACAGTGTGTGCCCTCTGATGCCCAACACCTCCCCCCAGGGGCCTCAGTGACTGCAGTGCGGGCTGGATGGCGGGTCTGCTCCTCATTTATTCTGAGCACTTGACACGACAACACCATGACATCTCGATCCTCACAAACACAACAACGTCCAAGTGTGACATCATCAGTGTTCTTCCGTGATTTACCAGAGACCAGAACCAACCTTCACCAAGTACTTCCACGAACAGGAGTGTGCTAGAGCCACAGCAGGCCAGGGCAGCACAGCTTTTGGAATCCATGGCCCTTGTGGAAGTGTCCCTGGAACTAGAATGACAGGAGAAATACTGTGACAGGGACAAGGCCCCATGAATGTGCCCTCCATAGCCCTGCCCACAGAGCAGCCTGGCTGGAGAGCAAAGTAGCCTCAGAAGGGCAAGGACGGCAGGGTGCGTGTCAGGAGGGTCACACAGCTTGCATCCATCGGTGTGAGGTATATGCTCCCTCTTCCCACCTCCCGCCCTGTAGTGCCCAAGAAGGTCATTCTCGGCTTGGGAAGCAACTCCTGATGGTCTCAGTTCCAAGAATGACAGGAGACTTGGCACCAGGGCCATATACCCACAATTCCTTAAATCATCTTGAAGACCCAATGGACCAGCACAAAATGCAGATCCCTGGAGAAAAGCTGGAGAGGTGACTGTGAACTCCATTTGCGGAGCCCACCATAGACCAGGGTCCTGCTCCAACCCATAGCCAGCATGGAAGCTGCTAGAAAAGTGAAAGAAAAGACCAGAGGATGAAGCTGCAGCCTGGGGTCCCTGACCTATCATTTTCCAACCTACAGACTGGCTTAAGGATAAGACTGTGACCCAGATGCAGTGCAGCATCCCCATAGCTTCAAAGACCTGTGGGTTGCCAAGACAACAGAAGACAGTCAGGTGGGCCTGGGGCTGCACCAACTATGAAGAAGGGGCACAGTGGCATAACAGAAGCCGATCATTACTACATAAGATCATCCAGCTATGCTCATGGCTGACACCTGGCCACCACGTTTCCAGCCCTGACACCAGACTTTCCAGAAGTCTATAGGCATTGCAGATGCCCACCTGTGGTGGGGAAGCTGGCACTCCAGCGAGAGAGTGTGCACAGATCAGGGGCAGCAGGCATAGGCAGTGCTGGGCACAAGGCAGGCTCTGAGACAGCCATGCATTGCAACTGAGCAGTGCATCGTCCTTCCCGAGGCTCCAGAAAGACAGTCTATGGAGACAGCACAGCAGTGTACAGCGCTGCTCTGTGGGAGCCACACTGGGGTCAGAGAATGTATCCTAAGGATACATTCCCCAAGGACAGACAGGTATGTGCGGGCCATGTAAGCTCAGCTGTATTAAATTGGAGCTAAGATTTGGAGAAGTCTCCCAAGACAGGGCCCTGCTACACAGCCAGGCTAGACTTAAACTTGCCCTTATTCCCTTGCCTCAGCCTGCAGAGCTCTTAGAAGTCTGTAGGAGCTGAGATGCCATTGCTCAAAAGCAAGAATCTGCACTGCTCCCTCCCCACCAGAGCCTCTATGACCCTAGATAAGCTCTAGGGACAGAAGAAGGCGGAGCTCCGGAAAGCAGGGCTGGCTATGTGGAGAACTTGCAGGGGAGCCTGGCCCTGGGCACTAAGGCTGAGAAGCCACCCTACAAAAGAGGAACAAGATGAAGCAGAGTCAGAAGCAGGAAGGCAAGGGTGCCTGGGAGTGGCTGCTACAGTGTGCAGTGGCAAGGCCTGGTGGTGGAGCCTGACCCGGGGATGTGGAGCTGGCTGAGTACACACCGAAGCTTAGGCTGCAGGCGTCCGGGGCAGGGTGACGGGAAGGGCAAGGCTGCTTCGAGGCTTATCTCTGTCGCCAGTGGCTCTGATCTAGTCAGGAAGAGAATGGCTGTTCAGAACTGAGCATGGAACATTGTGGGAGAGAAGGTCAAGAACCAAGAATGAGGGCCATCGATAGGGCTCAGTGGATAAGGGTACTTGCTACCAAACCTAAGGACCTGAGTTCAATCCCAGGGTCCCACATGGTAGAAGGAAAACTGACTCACAAGTTGTCCTCTGCCCTCCACATGGGAACCTCAACACACCTGCTTACACACACACACACACACACACACACACACACACACACACACACACAGAGTAATGTAAAAAAAATAACCAAGAGTGGGAAGGATGAGGCCTGTAGGCCCAAGGCCTCCACAAGAACCAGCACTGGAGGCCCACAAGATGGAATGTGCAGCAGGCTGGGCAAGGCCACTCATCATCAAGTCTGTCCTGGCTGCTTGATCCTGCAGGGACTATCATCTTTGAGAGAAACCCTGAGCAAGAGCAGGCAGAGCCAAGGATGGCCTGCTCCCATGACAGCATGCTCAAAGCTTTGTAGAGGCACTAGAGGTGAGATGGGAAGCCTGGGACCAACAGGTGGCCCCCCTTTTGGCGCCTCTGCATGACTGGACAGGAAGAGGGGCACATGGCAAGAAAGCGCTCTGCTCATTCAGATTTTCCGTCTGATGGCATCAGGTGCTGGTCTTGGCCCTGGCACGCACCTATTTGCTGGCCCGCTTGTGTCTGTACATCTGTGTCATGCGCTGGCGGAAGGCGTCAAACGTATCTTCTTTCTGCTCGGGCCCATCAGCCCCCAGGCCCTCTCCTTCTGAGAGCGTCCCCCTGCAGAGCAGACACAACAAAAGCCAGGGTCAGAGGTAAGCCAGGGTACACAGGAAGACGGGACACAGACATCCAGACAGGAAACAGTCACAGGACTGGGGCATGCCTCAATGACAGAGTGCTTGCCATGCATGGTGAGGCCCAGGGCTCTCACCTTAGCACAGCAAATCAAACAAGGAGAAGACAAGCCACAAGTCACAGTGGAAAAGAAAACTAAGGCTACTAGCTCATGGGAGCATGGCTTTTGTGCTTGAGACCCAGTGTACAAGTACACGCTGTCTTAGAACTCGCTTTGTAGATCAGGTTGGCTTAGAACTCACGAGATTCGCCTGACTCTGCCTCCCAGGTGCTGGAATTAAAAATGTGTGCCACCACCACCTGGCAAGACACAGTCTTTTATGTAGCCCAAGTTGTCCTAGAACTTACAGTACTCCTGTCTCAGCCTCCCAAGGTTGATATCACAGATAAGCAAGCACCAGGCCTGACTGGAGCCTTCTGTGGGTCTGTTGCCTAAGCACAAGAAGGTGCCTCACACCAAGATGTGTTGGCACTGAGGGGCATGCCCTCTGGATACATGAACAGAGGCTGAGGATCTGTGTCCCCACCCTGGCAGCCTCTAATGACTTCTAGAAATACCTGTCCTGTAACTACCTATACATGCTGCTTATATTCCAGGGCCATGAGCATCAGGGTCAAGAAGCTGTCCAGAGGTCTATAGAGGAAGGAGCTGGCCACGTCTGTGCACCCAAATGAGTAGCTAATAAAATAATGACCCAGCTGTACACTATCATTTAGCTCCAACACAAAGCACCCAAGAGCCCCTGGCCATGCCATACACGCTGACAGGCTCACGGATGCCCTTCCCAAGGGAGCCCAGGCCGTGGCCTTCCTTCCAGCCCATCTTCTGCAACATCTGGAAGCCTAGGTTCTTGTCTGTCAGCTTCTGCTGGGCAAACTCCAGGTCCTTGGGTTTCTGAGGAGAGAGAGGCAGGGGTGGGTGGACCAGTCTGTGATAGTGTGCCCTGGATCCCCAAGTACTGTCCTATCCCCAGATGCTGAGAATGGTGAGTCCCACTCATCTCCAGCTTCCTTGTAACATCCTTGGGGGTGAGACTTCTTGAGGCCAGGTCCCTTATTCCAGGGTCAGAATGGGCACCTGTGCTGAGCTTATGAGGGAAACCCTGTGAGGACAGTGGGGCCTAGGACAAAGGCTCAGCAGGAATGTTTGAGCAAGAGACCTGTAAAGACCAGTAGCCTCTTCTGTAAGTGGACCAATCACTGCTCTCCTGTACACTGCAGTTTATATTGTAGGGGATGGATGCAGTCTCCAGCCCAGTCTTCTGAAGGCAGGAACATATGTATGCCTGTGCCTGGCTACTGTCTTGGGGATGGGGCTTGCTGTGATGCCTGGACTAGCCTGGAACTCCTGTGCATAAGTAACCATCCTGCCTCAGCTTTCCTGAACACCTGGGACACAGGTGCATGCTTTACACCCAGCTTTGCAAAGTGCCTGAAGCCTCATCACAGCATCAAGTGTAGCACTCCAATCTTGCACCTCCAGGAGCTGGTGTCACTACGCAGTCACACACACCTTCTTTTTGGCTATGGGACGACCCCGAGGCCTGTCGTAAGCAATTCGAACTGGTTCATGGACTGCAAGACAAAAGGGAGAGATCTGTTCACACTGCACACTTGCCCCATGTCCCTAGAGACAGACAAAAATGCTGCCTGGTGAAGACACAGCTCACACCTGGCAGCTGCTGGCTCCTTTCCCCTTTCCAGCTCTCCAATATTCTATGTCTGCTGAGTTGGGCTCTGAATGGCTGTGATGGAGCCAGCTAAGGGCATCAACCTAAGAGCACTGGCCCGCACAGGGACCTGCTGCTTGTAGTCACAGGAACACTCTCTTGCTGCAGGCAAGCCACAGCAGTACTGTACCCTCCTACTTCCACCAAGAGGGCTCCAGAGGGACAGGTCTGGAATCCTAACCATCAGTCAGAAAGTCAAAACTCAGGAGGGCACCAAGGGCTCCTGAAGTCAATGAAGACAGTGGCAGGTCTGTCCCCCTGGTGCCCAAGGCATCACCTTAGGAGATCTGTGCCTCCCTGCAGGAAGCCCTGCTCAGCTCCCCTGTGCCCGAGATACAGGACACAAGGGTCACAGTTGAGCCAATGGCCACCCACTACAGTGCTAAGGACACATACCCGAGGACTGTAAGGTGACAGTGTCACACAGAGCCTGCAAGGCCCAAAGTCTGCTGTCCTCACATCTTCACTACAGGTATAGAAACCTTTGGGAACAAGCTGGGCGGTGGTGGCACACACCTTTAATCCCAGCACTTGGGAGGTAGAGGCAGGCAAATCTTTGTGGGTTCAAGGCCAGACTGGTCTACAAGAGCTAGTTCCAGGACAGCCTCCAAAGCCACAGAGAAACCCTGTCTCGAAAAACCAGAGGGGGAAAAAAAAAAAGAAAAAAAGAAACCTTTGGGGATTCAGAAGCTGGGTGTGCCTCAAAATCAAGGGTGAAAAGTGGTGGGATGAGCAGATGGAAGAGGCCCCTTGTAAGGTGGCAGCTACCCTTACTAGACATGTGCTAACACTGGGAGTGTAGTGGTCAATGGTTAAAAATACTTTTGGGCCAAAGCACAGGCCCAGGGTTACACAGCACAGGCTTGGCTGGGCTCCCCAGCCACCAACACACACCTAGGAGAAAGAACCTGGTTGTGATGGCACACCTGCAGTCTCACCCTGTGGGATGGGCAGGAGGATTACTATAAAAGGCCAGCACAAGCCATATAGGTGTGTTCTGTCTCAAAGAAAACTACCACAAAACCCAAAAAAGACTCAAAACCTAAGTCCTGAGAGCAGAGAATCCTGTGCACTGTGCCAGGCACTTGGGGCCCATCTGCACACACAAAGAAAGCAGGTGCTAACAGAAGGCAGTGTGACTGGCTGTCGCTGGCACATCTGGAATGGCCATTGAGTGTACCATCTCCCACCACCCCCAGGACTCTGGGGGGCACTCACCCTTTGACTCCTGGATGAGACACACCCTCTTGGGGGCAGGGATCATGCCAACTTTCAGCGACTTGCTGCTGATTCTCTTCCTGGGGAAACAGCTGCCAGAGGAGGCCTGTGACAGGCCAGGGATGCCAGCCTGGTCCTCCCTGGACCCCTCTCCAGGCATGCTGTCAGTGGGGGAGCTGCCCTCGGAGCATGGACACTTGGCAGCTCCTGCCTGTGGCCTGAGGGCACAGGTCTCCTCTCTGCCCTCATCCTCCTCATCCTCATCATCTTCCTCCTCCTCAGGCAGCACCTCAGGGTCCTCCAGTGCAGCCTCCTGCTGGGGACGCCCCTCCTCTGGCTCACCCTCACCCTCCTTTAGGGCTGTGGGGCTTTGCACCGAGTCCCCTGTCTCACCAGTGGACTGGAAGGAGATGGATGGGCACAGTTCCAGTACCTTCTCTCGGTAGAACTTGAAAGCTGAGCTGCTCTGATCATGCAGGAACCTGAGGATGAAATGCGCTGCTGAGCTACAGCTCCTGGCCTAGCTCAAGATAGAGGCAGTAGCAGGACATGGCCCTGCTATGGCTTCACAGCCCAACTACAGACATACCATTCAGAACCAGGACTGGCTCAATCTAATAATCTTCCCTAGATGGGACAAGATGACCTTGAAGTTCATTAAGACAGGATGCTCATGCAACATGTATAAGCCACCCCCCCCCCAATTCCATCCCTAGCACCTTAAAAAGAATCCTTGAGGCAGCTCAGCCCATTAAAACACTTGCTGCACATGCCTAAGAGCTGACTTCGGTCCCCAGAGCCAATCTGCTCAGACTGTTTACACACACACACACACACACACACACACACACACACACACACACACACTCTCTCTCTCTCTCTCTCTCTTTCTCTCTCACTCACTTAAAAAAAGATAAATCTTAAAAATCCAACAAAAACTAAGGTGAAAAGGCAATCAGGGAAGGACATCCTAGAGTGTCAACCTCCAGCTTCCTTGTGTCTCCATATAGGCAAGTACACCATCATTCATGGTGAACTACACTGGCACACACATACACAAAAGTTCTAGCAAGTACAAAGTGATTGATAGTGACAGTGACAAATGGCTGCCTGGGGATGTGAGAGATGGCAGGTAGCAGTGGGAAGGCACACAAAGTCATGATCAGCTTGTCTTTGGCCTTTTATTATCTAGATCAATTAAGAACTCCTTTTACACAAGGGAGCTTGGAGGGCAGAGCTGAATGGCTGTGGGGAAGCAGGTGGGGTAAAGGCCTGCTGCAGTATGCATGCACTACCACCCAATGGGGGACTCAGATGGAGCAGAGGGGAGAAGGAAGCCCACCGATAGCACACACAGGCTGCTCTGTTCCCTAGCCTCCAGAAGCCTGCTGTGCCTCTTGGCCTTGTCTTTAAACTGGGAGAATCGAATCCAGACTGATCACAAATTGAGACCTCAGAAGCCATGAGCTCAAATCAACCATCCCTCTTTTATGTTGTTTGTGCAGTTTTCTGACATGGGGGAGGGCAGGACCTAACAGAGGTCCTGAGGTTTCCTCAATGACACATAGTCGTTGAGCAACCTTGCTAAAGGAGTTATCATAAATGACACTGCAGACTGGTAGCAAACTCAAAGCCCGTCAGGACAGATGCACAGGAGGGAAAGAGAGGCCTGGGAACACTGTAGTGCAGGGAAAGGCAGCTGTGCAAGTGCTCAGCACTGGGCTAGGCAAAGAACACAAGGAGAGAGGTACACACACACAGGTGGCTTCTGACTCCTAAAAAGCATAAGTGGGAAAGCCAGACTCCTCTAAGTAATTTTGACTTTAGAACAAAATGGATTAAAAATTGCAGCTGGCACATGGTCAGCAGAGACATGTGGATTTTTGTGAGTTCAAGGCCAGCTTGGTCTACAAGTGAGTTCCAGGATAGCCAGGATTGTTTCACACAGAAACCCTGTATAGAAAAAAACAAAACAAACAAACAAACAACAACAAAAAACAAATATTCCTGCTGGGCATGATGTTGCATGCCATTATTCAAGTACTCAGGAGGCAGAGGCCAGCCTGTGAGTTCCAAGCCAGCCAGGATTGCACAATAAAACTCTGTCTCAAAAGCAAAACTCAAACTTCTCCTCCCTACTGCTCCCCTACAAATTCAAATATGGGGGCCAGCAAGATGGCTCTGTTGATAAAAGCACTGCTTGCCTCTAAGCCTGACAACCTGAATTTGATCTCCAGACCTACATGAATGATGGAAGGAGAGAGGAACTGCTGCAAGCTGTCCTCTGACCTCTACACTTACACTGTGGCAAGCACACATCCATGACAAATAATGTCAAATTAAACAAATCCCACTTGGGCCTGGGTATATGGCTCAGTGGATAGGAGTGTTTGCTGTGCAGGACAAGTGCCAGAACAGCAAGCTTTCTTTTCAAACTGTCACTTCAATGAATTAAAAAGAAGGCCCAAGCACAGGCCTGATACAAAGCATCTGCCAGTGTAGGTCCAGGCCAGTACATGTGAGCAGAAAGAAACAAAACACACACACACACACACACACACACACACACACACACACACACACACACAGCTTATGCAGTGTTGGAGAAAGACATGAGGACTCTGTGTATACTGGGTAAGAAGTCTACCAACTGGTCCAAACTTGTACGTTTCCAACTGTACTCAACTGTAGTATCAAGGACAGACCCAGGCCTCCTGCACTCAGCAAACATTCAAGTGCATTTCAGTCAGACCATGACACAGCTCTCCAGAAAGTAGGAGGAAACCCAATGGTGCCAGGCTTGGTTCTAGGAACACATGAGTACAGTGGAGGTTGGGAGATCTCAAATGGCCTCTGGAAGGGCCCAAGAGTACCTCCACCACAGCCTAGAGTTCCCTCAGCAGCTGGGGCTCTTCAGGGCTGGTTTCTGGATTTTTCTCAGACAACATGTGAGGCATATGCACAAAAGCTGCTGGAATACCCAGTCTTTGTGTGAGGGGGAAGGAAAAGAGGATGAGGCCTTTCCTGATGGTCTAGGTGAAGGTTGATTCAACACACATGCCAGCTCTAGGCCAGGCTCAGCTGAAGATGGAAACCATCTTGCCTGCTCAATGTGTGGCTGTAGGGTGTGGGGTGTCCCAAGGCACGTACCACAGGTCAGGGTTGTCGGTGCTGCTCTCTATGCTGAACTGCTCAATTTCGGGGCCCACCTGAGCCACAAGTCTGGCCAGCTTCTCAGCGGTCTCCATGGTCTTTGGATCTACTACAGAACAGAAGACAGCACTTGTGGCTCTTTAACTGACTCTAGACACTTACCCTTGATCCTTCCCTGCACTGTGTAACTCTGGAGCTCTCTCTCAGTTCCAATTAGTCAATAGGCAGCCTGTGGCAGAAGCACCAGCATGGACACCTGGGCTGGCTGCCAGGGAAACAGGCACATGGCTGCCACTCTTATCACATCAGCCAACAGGCTACCAACCTGCTGCTTACTCTGGAAGCTCAGGTTAGAAGCCATCCTACTAGCAGATCAGGATACTGCTGGAGCCATCCAGGAGCAGAGAAACATGGCTTGGGCATTGTGTAGTCTGCACACGTTCCCACTGCAAGCTAGATAGGAGTACTGGGCACAGTAAAGGTAAGCTGGTGGTGATCAAACATGTTACATCAGTAGCCTCAAACCTTGGCACAGGCTGAGTGATACAGAAGGCATTCAAGGAAACACCATGTGGGGCTTGAGCTGCATGGCCACTGCATCTGTAGATTTGACCAGGCTAGGCTGAAAATACCTGCAATGGACTCAGAGTACAGCTTGAGAGTGTTTGCCTAGCAGGCTTGAGGCCCTGAATTCAATGGCTGAACGCAGTACTGCTGAACCCAGACCAATGAAGTCACTTAGAAAGCAATTGCCTCTGTCCTTGCTTTATTCTCAACCCCCTTAAATAATATAGGAATAAATATTTCTGCAGACTTTTTTTTATTATTATTAGAAACAAGGCCTCACTTAGGTGAGACAGTCTGGATCCTCCTGCGTCTACCTTCCAAGTGCTGGGATGACAGGTGTACCTCAGCCAGCTTCATGTAGTGCAGGTATTGTGTTAGATGCTGTAAGTAACCCAGACAAGATGAATATGTAGTAGAGGCCAGGCATGGTGACAAGGATGTAGCAGGTCAGTGGCTATGAGTTCCAGCCCAATCCCAGCTACATAGTATGTGCCAGGGTAACCAGGGCTAGAGAGTGAGACCCTATCTCAAACAAAATAAGCTCTTAACAGCACTTGAAAGCAGAGGCAGACAGACCTCTGTGAGTACGAGGCCAGACTGGTCTACACAGTAAGGTCCAGACTTATATGGAGAAACCCTGCCTCAAATTTCTCACAAACAAATCCAAAAAACAAGCAAAGCTGAGCAGATTTTTTGAAAACTGCGTCCTTCTTCAGAAGACTTTCACCTCAGTAGACTCTGGCACATGTGGAAGAACTGCCCTTTCTTCGACTGCTGTCAGTGGACACACTGTCCTAACTGGATAAGTAGAATATGAGCAAAGAGACCGTTAAGCCTTGCCAAGACATGGTGGAACAATCTTTTGAATTTTCCTGCTTCTGATAATTGTCTGTCAGATACTCTAGGCCTTAGCCAAAGTTGGTTGCCCTGACATTACTGTGAGACCCTGAGTGACTGTCCAGGTTAGCCAACTGTTTCTGTCATTCATTGCCTCTTTAGAAAGTCACCTGCTTGTACTTCCTGCTCAACCAAGTAATGTTATTTTCTTTCTCAGGTCTTTGATGGGATTGAAGACTATATAGGCATAGCTAATATCCTCTCTTATCTTAACTAGAGCACATTAGGTACAAGATTCAGACTTTCCAAGATAGGACAGTTATTTGAATAATCTCTGTAATATGGCATTTACTCTGTAATATGGGCATTCAATATGTGTTTCTTGCTTAATGTTGCTCTTGCTGGCTGTAGGTCTAAATTTGTGTGTGTGTTTACCTTTCTTTCTCCTGGACTATACTTGATATTTGCTATCATAGTATATAGTTTTTATATCAGGTTTAAAACTCTGTTATTTAGAGAAAAAGGGAAGGTGTAGTGGTATCTTGTTCTGCCAATAGATTTGAGGTACCGGCCTTAGCATGTGGCTTTGGTGTGCAGATGTGATCCCTTAATAAGGAAGAGGAGGGGCCTCATCATTCTGTCTCTCTTGGGTGATGGTCTGAGTATCCTGCACCTCCAGGGGCAGAAGACCACAGCTATTTATCTTCACTGTGTGTGAGTGCTACCCAAATAAATATTTGTTATTCTTTATTCAGACATTCGTGGACTTCCTAAACCCGCCTTTAATGGTGAATGGTGGTGTGATGTAGGCCCAGAAAGGCTCAGGAGGAACATGAAGGACAGTGTGGTCATGTGCCATCCTGTTCAAGTTCTTTTGGCCATTCCAGCTTGCCACCTAGTCTAGACTGCTAAGCACCTGGCTCCCCGACTCCCACCATCCCAAGGGATGCATATGAGCATGGGGACAGGTGGGGTGGGATGGGCACCTACCATCAGCAGAGGGGCAGGGAGAAGAGGCCAGCAAAGCTTCTGAGTCATCCCCTATTGGCCGAGATGGGCCCAAGGCTCCATAGCTGGAGGGCTGAGGGTGGGGTTTGGCAGGCTCTGGTAGACAGTCCTGGGCAGCATCACTTGAGTCCCGTGGTGGTGGTTTCACCTGCAAGGAGCCTACAGCCTGGCGGCCATGGTGTCTCTGCCGAGTGCCTGAGGACAGGAATGCATGCTGGGCAGTGGCAGCTTTCTTGGCCTTTCGGCCTCGAGGACCCTGGGAGCGAAGCAGCCGCCTGCGCTGCCACGGGAGAAGTCTGCGCTTGAGGCTTTGCACAGCTTGTGCATATAGCATGGCACGCACCGCACACTGTGCTGGTGTTGGCCTCCGTTCTACGACAGGCCAGCTGTGGTTCAGCCGCTGTGACTCTGCCAGCTTCAGCTTGTAGTACTTATACTCCAGGCTGCTCTCATCAGACAGAAACCTGCCAAGCAGAAACAAGACAGGGCACTGTGAGAGCAGCACTATGCTCAGCAAGGCGTAGCTTCTGCCGCAAGTGATGTCCTCCTGCCTTCTGCTGTCCAGTTTAAATTATTTATATGATGCTTATTCTTAATCCTAACACTGGTGATGCTGAAGCAGGAGGACTGTAGAGAATTTGAGGCCAGTATGGACTACAAAAGGAGCCATTATCTTTTGTTTATAGTCCTGGCTGTCCTGGAACTCACTATGCAGACAAAGTTGGCCTCAAACTCACAGACATCTACCATCCTCTGGCTTCAGAGTGCTGGGATTAAAGGTGTACAATTGAGAATTGGTTGGTTTCTTCTTGACTTTGGTCAGCTCAGAGCAGGTGCTGCAGGTTCACAGTACCCTGTAGCACCCTGGCAGACAGAGGGGCACCCTTCACATGGCTAGGTGTCCAGTGCTTCATGAGCTTTCTCTGTGCCACTAAGGCAGGTGTGGCAAGGCGGAGGGGAGTCTGAGACACTTCCTGATGCACTAGGGACAGCTGAACATACCCTCAGGTACAGGGGTGACAAATCTTTGCTGGATGTGAAACAACAGAAGGAAGGGAGCTGTATCTTCCCATCTGACCCTGGCATTTGTAGGGATTCTAGTAGAATCACTGTATCTAGGGTAAACATTAGAATGAAACAGTTATTTTCTACAAGTACTGAGCCACTGAAGAAATCATTGCAGAAAATGATGACTCTTTTCTGTGATGTATAAAGTAGTTTTTCTAAAGGAGTTTAATAGCCTTTGCATGACTGTCCTAGCACACCTGGAACACCTTGCATTATTGGGCACTGCACACAGTACATACATAATAAGGACTAAAACTGCAGGAGTGTGATGGTCTGCTTCAGAAAACATATTACATCAGGGCTTTGGCATGAGGAACTACCATAAAACAACCTTTGTGTAACAATAAGTATGCTTCTGCATAGCTGTTCAAGGTTCAGTTTATTGAAACTGTTCCTCCTGCTACCACAGAGCCTCCATTACATTCTGGTGACTCTTTTCCTTTGATTGTCCCACACAACACAGAACACCTGACATTCACCAGCTCATAAAACAAAAACAAAACAACAAAAACATACAAACAACTAGCTGTCACAGTTGGCCTTCCACACCCAGGTTTGCTGCTTGGCAGTCAACTGCGCCTAGATGTAACAGAAAGAGAAGGGACCCTGCTCCTTATCAATGCAGCCCAACAGCTATGGACACAGTCACCTTGTCTCCAGTGTTTTGAGTAATCTGGAAACTATGTAAAGCACCCAAGAGGGTAGATGAAGAGGCATACACATACAACTCCAGCACTGGGAAGGCTGAGGTAGGAGGATCTCAAGTTCCAGATCAGCCCAGACTACACAGAGACTTTAAAAAATCAAAGCAAATCATGTGCTGGAAGTGATGTGCTTCATGAAGATATACACTACTCTGCATGGGGCACTGAACACTCAGATTTTAGTATCTAGGGGTTTTGGACTGGCCCTTTGTTGATACTGGAGGTGAGAACTTAAGAGCCCTAGAACAGTGAGTTTTTCAAATGCCAAGGGAACAGTTGGCGATGCCTTACTTCCCTTTACAAGTTAGAAATGACATGAGAGCCAGCAAGAAAGAGAAGCATGGGCTAGACACCTGTGTGTGCCTCTCACCTGCCACTTCTGCACTAGGGAGGCTAAAGCAGGACAACAGCCAGAGTGCAAGGTCAGCACTGGCTACATTGTAAGTCTGAGCCAGCCTTGAGAAGAGTGAGAGTCTGCAACAAAATTGAGTTTGAGTGTGGCTCAGGAGTAATCATTTGCCCAGTATGAGGCCACCATGAGTCCTATCCCAGTGTTATACTACAGAAATATTTGGTCACTGTCATAAGCGCTGTGTGATGGTGGCTCAAGTAAGAACAGCTCCCAGCCTGGCGTTGGTGGTACACATCTTTAATCCCAGCACTGAGGAGGCAGAGGTGGGTGGATCTATGTGAGTTAGAGGCCAGCCTGGTCTAAGAGCTAGTTTCAGGCAGGACAGGCTCCAAAGCTACACAGAGAAACCCTGTCTTAAAAAAACCAAAAAAGACTGATTCCCAAAGGCTAATAAATTTGAATGCTTAGTCAGCAGGAAAGGACACTGCTTGAGAAGGATTATTGGAGGAAGCGTGTCACCAGGGGTGAGCTTTGAGGTTTCAAAATCCCAAGCCAGATCCAGTGGCTGTCCCTTTCTGTTGCCTGCAGATCAAGATTCAGAATTCTTAGTTCCTTCTCCAGTACCATATCTGCCCAAATGACGCCATGCTTCTTCCTGCCATGATAGCAATGAACTAAACCCCTGAAACTATAAGCCAGCTCCAATTAAATGTTTTCTTTTATAAGAGGTGGCACAGTCATGGTGTGTCTTCACAACGATAGAACCCTGAAAACAGAAGTTGGTACTAGAAGTAGGGAAATGCTGTGACAGCCTGGCCATGCTGCTTGTTGGTGGAACAGGGACTTTGGATTAGAAAAGCAACTGAATGTTTTAAGTGGGACTTAATGAGCCATGCTAAGGGAACTGTAGAAGATGGTGGTGCTGATAGCAATGTAGATTGTGATAGTCCAGCTCAAGAGATTTCAGAGGAGATTATCACTGGTAAGGGGCCTATATTTTGGTGAAGAACGTGGCTGCTTTCTGCCGTTGTCAAAAAATCTGCCTGAGGCTAAATTCTGAAGTTCTGGGTTAATGACATTGGCAGAGATTTCAAGACAGCCTATCATTAACTGTGTTGTGTGGTCACTCTTATGCAGATCTGTAAGGAAAACGAGCAATCTGAGCAAGAAAAAATGCAAATTGTACAGTTTGAGGAGAAAAGGAATACCAGGAAGTATAATGGAGCTAAGTCCTGTGCTCAAGGAGATAAGAAGTTTAAATGGAGTAGTGACTTCAGGACAAAACCCTGCCCAGCTAAACTTCCAAATTGTGAGACAGAAATAGTTCAGGGTTAATTGTAATATTGCTCATCTTTAATCCCAGCACTAGGGAGGCAGAGGAGAATCTCTCCTGAGTTTGAGGCCAGCCTAGTGTACAGATTGAGTTCCAGGACAGCTACATTTAGACAGTGAAGGAAACCAAGTTATGAGAAGGAATTAAAGAACAATTTAAGCAATGGAGGGATACCACTGAAAACAGAAAGCTGATGAAAATGTAATTGAACCAGCATGTATCAGTTTCAGCAAACCGAAGAACTTGGTAGCTTCAGTCACATGGTTCTGGCTTTAGAGTCAAGGATACAAGAAAGAGATTGTGGAATCTCCCTCCATGGCTAGGGAAAGCCACTGAGGCCAGGCATGTGTCAGGTGTAGACCTAGAAAGGTCACTGAGTGACCTGTACTCTAACTAGGTTCTGGGCCATTAGCAGCAGTTCCTGTCTCATGGTTCTGGTGCTTTCTCCACTTTAGAGCAGCCATTGTGCATGTACATTCCTACACTAAACCTCCTCTCTCATTATCCTGTTTATTGAGATAGGCACCTCTCCTTCACAGTGGTTCCCCTTAAATCTTAGCTTTCTCAATCAATGACTATTTCTGATCTTCCATCTGACCCTGTCCTCTACCACACACACACCAACAATAACAGCTTCTATCTCATTTCTAGTGGTGACCATCTGCATGCTAGGCTATGCCCAGTGTTCACGTGGCAGAAGTATACCATCAGTGAAGTCACACCAAGGCCCCTATACTCGGGTGCTTTCTTACCCAGTGGTCTGAACTTCCCTCACCAATCTAAGATCATTGACTGGAACATGGCCATCTGATCTCTGCTCCAACTCATTTCAGCTGTGCATCCTGCAAGCACAATGCTTCTATATGTCAAGGACTGCTCACAGGCAGTCAGCATGGAGTCAACAGTATGCTCAAGATACTGAGCATACAGATGATAGCCATGGCTGGGGCAGGAGTCTGGGCAGAGATTGGGCCATAACGTAAGACCCCATCTCTTGTAATTAAAAAATAAATAACAAACAAAATCAAGGAGGGCTAGATAGATGGTTAAGAGCACTTGTTCTTGCAGTAGATCCAGATTCCCAGCAACCAAAGAGTGGCTCACAATAATCTATGACTCCAATTTCCAGGGATCCAATGCTGCTTTCTGACCTTTCCAGGTATCAAGTATGTGGTACATAGACATGCATACAGGCAAAACACTTTTTAGCCTCTTATTTTGTTTTTACAGGGAGTTCTGTAGTTCAGGCTGGCTGCCAGTTCTGATCTTCCTGCCTCCCAGGGCTGTGATACTTCTTTCAATTACCATATGCCCTTGGAGCACCTGCCTGCCTCTTTGCACCCTAGGATAGTACAGGAAGATAAGTGGTGGTCAACAGCTCTTGCCAAAAAAAAAAAAAAAAAAGGCTGGAGAGAGAGATAGCTCAGCTGTACTTGCTGTTCTTTGTTCTTCTAGAGGACCCAGCTTTGATTCCCAGCACCCAAATGGCAGTTGAAAACTGTTTCAAACTCCAGTTCCCAGGTATCTGACACCCCCTCTGGCTTCTCAGACACTGCATGAACATGATATACAGATACACATGTAGGCAAAACATTCATACACATAACAGAATTATTTTTAAAATAAAAACGTCATTTTAAAAAGGAAAAGACAAAATAAGCATGCCTACCAGTAAGCAGGGTCCTGCAGGAGTAGTGTTCTTTCTCTGGGAGTCAGCCTGCCTTGGATGACACGCATGACAAGCTGGTCAATGGTGTCCACCACCCTGTGATCCGCCCGCTGGGGGACTGCTGCAATACACAGAATGGATGCTGTGAAAACCAGTGGACCACAAAAGCCTGGAGACTAGGCCAGTGAACTGGAGGGCAGCATAAAACCCCATGGCCATCAGCAACTGGAACCATCAATCACAGAGCACTGGTGCTGAAAAGAGGGAAACCTGGTTTCAGACAGAAAATGTCTGTCTGAAAGATGTCCCACCTTAGCTGTGAGCAATGAGAGTCACTCAGCTGCGCAGAGCTAGGTGTGGGCTCTGGAAAGGAGCTGGTAAGCATTGGTTCACCACCACTGCATACACTGCGTACAGCTTGACTGCCTGAGTCCTAACCCAGAAGACAGATGCATGTGACATGCAGCTAGAGGCACAGGTGGCTCTGTGTCCCTGTGGCCACAGCTTCTCAGGAGGTTAAGTAGGAGGGCTGTCTGACCCCAAGAGTTTCTAAATAGCCTGGACAATAAACAAACAAAAATCTGAGAGATGGCTCAATGGCTGTGTATGCATGAGGACTCAAGTTCAAATTCCCAACACCCAATTAAAAATGCTGGATGTGACAGTGAGTGCCTATAACAGTAGTGCTGTGGGAAGTGGTGACTGAAGGATGTTTGGACCTTGCTGGCCACCAGCCTAATTCCAGGTTCAGTGAAAGACCCTGTCTCAAGGTAGTAAGATGGAGAGTACTGGCCTGTACATTCACACATATACCCCACACTCACACATATATAAACACACATACAAAACACCCAAACCCAAACAAGCAAACAATGCATCAGAATACCCCCAAACATAAAATATAAAAGCACCACTGATGGGGCCAAAGAGATGGCTCAGTATTTGGAGAGTGTTTCCTGCACAGCCATGAGGGTCCCAGCACCCATGGATAAGTTGAGTGTGTTATTGTGCATACATACTTGCCACCAGGGCCATCTGTTGTGAGTGTGCACATGTGCCTAAATGTGGAGGCCAGAGGATGCTGGCTGTCCTGTTCTGCACTATTCACCTTTTTCCTTGAGAAGGAGTCATTCATTGAATCTAGAACTAGGCCAGTGCTATTGGCCATGTCAGAGGAGTCCAGGGGATCAGCTTACTAGCAAACAAAACCTAATGGTGAATCTAGGATAGGCAAGGTCCCAGAGAGCCTCAGTCCCAGAATAATTCTTGCTGCTACTGTGTCTTTGCATGTTTGCCACTGCCATTTTTCTCTGCATGGTGTGAAAGGGTCTGGGAAGATCCCTACTGCCCTTAATGCAGTGTGATCATCTCTTGGAAATATCCCTATCTACTGGGCATTTTTATCTGTGAATTATTATGAAGATGATTTCCTCTTAAGCTGTACTGCTTAACTGACACAATGACTTTTAATAGAATTTTGATGACTGAGGGTTTTAAATAAATATAGGATAACAGAGGCTGCAGAGGATAAAACACAAAGAAGTGTCACACAGCTAAAATACATGAGTTTTTATTGAGAATTCATACAGACTGTGTCTTAGGTTAATGATTAAGAAAAACAATTGAGGGGCTGGAGAGATGGCTCAGTGGTTAAGAGCACTGACTGCTCTGCCAGAGTATACAGGTTTAATTCCCAACACCCACATGGCAGCTCACAACTGTCTGCAACTCCAGTTCCAAGGTAGCCAATGCTCTCACACACATATACATGCAGGCAAAAACACGTATTGTTTTTGTATTGAAATGAAATAAAAATAAATATTAAAAAGAAAAACAATTGCATGCCAGTAGCTCAGCTACTTTATATTCTTTTAATCTTAATGTTGGGAGATGTTTTCATAGGTTTCAGAGTGCATCACAGCTGAAACAAAGCTTTAGAATGACTTCAGGTTGGATTAGCTTTGAGATGAAAAACCCTAGACAACAATCTAAAATTCACAAGGTCATATAGCTGAGGGGCTCATTAAGGCCAGGGATCAAAAACAAAGCAGTCCAATTGTTACTAGCTGATATGCCTTTCTTGGTGATTAATTCCTTATACCCATCTCTGCCCTCAATCTCCTGATATAAAAAATTGTTGAGGGTTGGAGAGATGGCTCAGGCTTTAAGAGCACTGGCCACTCTTTCAGAGGTCCTGAGTTCAATTCCCAGCAACCACATGGTGGCTCACAACCATCTATATGAGATCTGGTGCCCTCTTCTAGCCTACAGGCAGAACACTGTATACATAATAAACAATCTTAAAAAAAAAAAATGTTGATGCCCTAAATATTTAAAGTAGAGCTAACTGATTTAACTAATTATTTTTCATATATAAAAGTTTAGGTTTGTATTTCTTACAAGATTATCTTTTGAGATAAATAATAAAATGATTGGTCCTTTTTTTGTAATCGCAAAATGCAGCTTGCTAGCAAAAGAACTGGGTGACAATCTGTTAATCTATAACAAGTTGCTTGGACATGAATGTATATGGGTTCTTGAGACAACTTGTTTTTCACTTATAATAACCTAAATAACTTATTTAATCAAGTAAGGGATATGGAAAACATGTTTGTTTGTTTTTAAACTTGTATTTATTGTAATCATTCACTTGAAAAATAGAATGTAATCACATTGTAATGTCTATATTGCTTGAAAGATTCTATTAGGGTATGTAAGCTATAACAGAAAAAAAATGTTAGAAGGAAAACATCAAGAGAGACAGAAAGGACATTTCTGGATAGAGATAAGAAAAGAAATAATGAACTGAAATAGAAGAAGAAAAAAGAAAATTTAGGAAGAAACCATCAAGAGAATGTGTGTGTCTTTTCCCTTACCCCCTCAGATAAAAAAGTCTTATTAAGCCAATTCTGTGGATCCCCTTTGAACCCTGCACTGGTGTAGAAGGGTCACCTGGGCTAGCAGCTAGCAAGCCACAGCCATCTATCTGCCCTCTGGCCTCACAGAACTGGTGTTATCAGTATGGTCACAGGTTTTAGGTGGTTGTTGGGATCTGAATTCAGGTCCTTAAGTTAATTCTCTAGATCCTCAAGTAAGTACTCTTATCACACTGAGCCATTTCCCCAATCCTCCTCCTTCTTCTTTTTAAATAATTAACTCGAGAGGCAGCAGTGGGAAGACCTCTGTGAGTTTGAGGCCAGCCTGATTTACAAAGCAAGTTCCAGGACAGCCAGGGCTACATTGAGAAACCCTGTCTCAAAAAAACAAAACAAAAACCCCCAATGCATATGCATATCATGAGCAAGTGGCAGTCGAAGACAACTTGAGAGAGTTCATTATCTCCCTCTACCATGTGAGTCATCGAGACTGAATTTAGGCTGTCATACTAGATGGCAAGTGTCCATCTTGCCAGCTCCTCTTTTGTTTTTGTTTTTTATTTTATGTATATGTGTGCTGTGTGTGTGTGTGTGTGTGTGTGTGTGTGTAACTACTTGTGTACATGATACCCATGGAGACCCAGATGTTGGGCGCCCTGAACTGGAGTTACAGTTGTGAGCTACCATGTGGGTCTTCTGGAAGAGCAGCCAGTGCTCTTAACTGCTGAGCCAGCTCTTCAGTCTATTCCCTTGTTTACTGAGTCAAGCTGTTGCTATGCAGTGCACAGGCCAGCCTCAAGCTTGTAGCAATCCTGTCTCTCTTAGCCTCCCATGATAGGGTGAAAGGCCTACGTCAATGAGCACTGAGCATTTGTTGTAGGGATGGGTGACAGTAACTAAAGCAACTGAGCAATTCTGGTAGGTCATGGTCTATGGCTGACCATACAGCTGTGCACTCAGAACAGAGGCTGCCAAGGACATGCCCAGCTCTACTTCAGAAGCCTCCACTACAAGACAGTGAAAGCCTTAAGGGCAAAGCAGAGTGATTTACACATGGTGGGTGACATAATGGAGTGGAATGCTACAGAAACTCATAGATAAACTGAGACACCATGCCTCCCTGCATATGGGGTAGTTGAGATAAGGGATTGGAAGCTTGAGGCTAGCTAGCCTAGGCCATATCAAGACCCTTTAAAAAGAAAGGAAGGAAAGAAGGAAGAAAGAAAGAAAAAGAAAAAGACGAACAAGGGGCTACAGAAATTAATAGAGCTTGCTGGTACGCAGAAGGACCAGAGTTTAGATCCTAGCACCCAAGCACCTTGCACATTTGTAACCTCAGTTCAATGATCTGATACCCTTTTCTGGCTTCTGATCTCATATACTCAGACATATGGAGACACACAAAAAATTAAATCACTATGGGTGGGGTTGTGCATATCTTTGAACCCAGCACAAAGACAGAGGCAGGTAAATCTCTCTAAATTTGAGATCAGCCTAGTTACACAATGAGTTCCAAGCCAGATGGGTCCATATAAAAGGATTCTTAAAAACAAAACAACAAAAAGATGACTTTAATCAGAGTGGAGGCAGAGGCAGGTACATATCTGAGCTCCAGGCCAGCCTGGTGTACAAAGTGGTGTACAAAAGAATTCTACGACAGTTAAGACTACACAGAGAAACCCTATCTTGGAAAAAAAAAAAAAAAAACCTAACCTAAAAAGAGAGCACAGCAGGCAGATGAACTCTCAGGTCAGTGCTGTAGTGCCTGGGTCCTTCACCTGGAGAGGGGAGCCCAAGGCCTTAGGCCCTTCCTCCTCTACCCCTAGCACCTGGTACTTGCTATCCTCATCTCCCCTCCAAAACTAAGGACTAGGGAGGGAAATGCATTCAGCTTGCTTCTGGAAGAACCCCTTCTTAGAAATAGTTGTAGCCACTCAATCTGTGTTGGGACATCTGATGCTTGATGCAATAACGGTTCCATGAAGGAGAGGACAGGGGTAAAAGTGACATCCCCTGGCCTAGAGGTAATGTCACAGGAGAGAAAAGATGGGTACCATGTTCTCTGGTGCCTGGGAAGGCTGGGTGTGATAGCATACATTCAGGGAGCACAGGAGGGAGAGGGAGACCCAGCAGCTTCCCATCCCTACCTCTGACCAGTGCCAGAGCTCCTGCTGACTGATCAGGTGAAAGGCACCAGAACCTCTTGGAATGACTGAGCTGGTCCTTGATACCCTCAGTATTCTATTACTCCTCCTACCCCTGGGCATGGGATTGACTAGGTTTTGGTGTAATTTTCTCTGCCTTGGGTGATATGTAGTGACAAGATACTTCAGGACATGGCACCCTAACCTTGATCTATGGTGAAAGGGGGTCATGCATTATTCCTAGTGAGGGCCAGTCAGTTTTCCATTTGGTTCCCAAATGGGTCCCTTACCAAAGAACCTTAAGGCTGGGGAACTGGGGCTCAGTGGGTGCAGCACTCATCTAGTGTGCATAAAGCCCTGGGCTCCATCCCCAGGATCACAGAAAGCCCAGGAGGCAGTACACTCCTGTCATCTCAGAAGTAGAGGCACAAAGAGCACAAGTGCAAGGTGGCTACATGAGACTGCCTCAAAACCAAGGGTAAAAAGGTGTATAAAAACCTCAAAGAGAGGGGCTAAGCAATCGATGGCTCAGCAGTGAAGAACACATGCTGCTCTTGCAAAGGACCCAAGTTCTGTTCCCAGCACCCATGTTGTGCAGCACACAACTGCCTGTAACTCCAGCTCCAAGGAATCTGGCACCTTCTTCTGCCTTCTACCAGTTCCTGTACATATAAATATTAAAAATATATATAAACACACACACACACACACGCATACACACACACACACATTTCTTTCTTTTTTTTACATCTCAAAGAGGGTCTAGAGCAACCTCTGTTACCTTACAACAATGAGGACCCGTGTTTGATCTCAGGTCTGATAGTAAATGCCCTGAGCAGTGAAGCACGCATATGCCAGAACCAGGAAGGTGGCCAGCTTGTCTAACCTATTAGTGAGCTTCGGGTTCAGTGAGAGGCCCTGTCTCAAAGGTGGAGGACAGTCTTTTTGAACAACACCTAAGGGACTCTGTCTTCTAGTTTTCATACATACACACGTATCTACACACACTTATGTGCACACCTATTTTTAAAAACCTCATGACAGCAAGATGGTTCAGTGGGTCAAAGTGCTTAAAGCCAGGCCTGGTGACTAAAGTTCCATTCCTGGTACCCATGTGGTAGAAGAACTGATTCCCACAACTGTCCTTTGATGACCTCTAAACATGTGCCCTGGCATTCATGTATCCATCCGTCTGTCCGTCCATCCATCCATCCATCCACCTACACACAATGAATAAAATTATGACAACACTGGGCCAGGCATTGGTAGCACCCGCCTTTAATCCCAGTACTTGGGAGGCAGAGGCAGGCAGATCTCTGAGTTCAAGATCAGCTTGGTCTACAGAGTGAGTTCCAGGAAAGGCTCCAAAGCTATACAGAGAAACCCTGTCTTGAAAAACCAACCAACCAACCAATCAGACAAAATCCTGTAACATTGGTAGCAATGACATTGTTTAAACAAAATAAATCTTTACCTTGGCTCAGAGTGCTTGTAGTCCAGGGCTGAGATGTGGTTCTCTGTTCTCGGGGCTCTGCAGGCACAGCCCTCTTCACCTGGAGGGGATAGCCACTGGCCATAAGCCAGGCCTTCAGGTGGTCTATGTATTCCCTTCCAAACAAAGTGGAGTCCTCAAAGTTTGGGAAGGAAGCAGGAGATGGAGCGATGTCCTGGAGGCCCACAGCCTCTAGGATCTTCTCCTGCCTGAAAGAGGAGGCCAAGGAGAAAGTCTGGCCTAAGAGTGCCAGGGACTTCCTACACAAGGAGTTAGTGGTCTCCAGGGCCACGGCCAGGTCCAGAGGGCTAGTGAGGGTCTTCATCTTGATGCTTAGCTCGTAGGCATTACAGGCCATGAGGAGGGGAGTGACACCCTTCAGCAGCCTGTCCTGGAGCCGCATGATGTACTTGTCAAAGGGCTTGATGATCTCAAAGAAGCAGTTTTTGGTCTTCACAGCACCTTTGTCTAAAAGCATATTTAAAAACTCATTATCAACTCGGGGTGTTTTCAGAGCAGAGTGCTTTAAAAACTTGATAGTAAAAAAGCAGAAATCTCTGTGCTCTGGTTTTAAGGAGCATTTGAAGGAGGCCAGCATCTTGGCACAGGTCTCAGTTTCCAGTTCAAAGAGAGTCTGGAAAAGCTGGGAGAACTTGAGGTCATCCTTAATGGTGTGGAAACCCGCCCACTTGATGATCTCTATGCCAAACCTTGAAAACACATCTGCCTTGTCCATGGCATCAAAGCCCAGCTTCCTTCTGGGGAAGCCAAACATCCTCAGGTCCAGCCCCAAGGGGATCTTCAGAGCAGCGAACTGGATTTCATCTAGCCCCGGGTTTGTTCCAAGGGTCACATCAGGACTTGGGGTGGCTTTCTGGATTTGGTTAGTGCCCTGAGGTTTTGAAGAAATACGACCAACAACAGGCATTTTCTTTGTGGTCATGCTTTTCAGTGTGATGAGCTTCCCAACACCCTTTGCTGTGAGCAGGCCCTGAGTGTCCCCCTTTCCTAGGAAAGTGCCTTCCTGGTCAGCCATATTTAGAGACCAGCCTCTGGCCAGGACTTGCCCACTGCCTCTAGACACAGAGTCCACATCCCCACGATGACCCAGGTCATAATCCCGACTCTCCTTCTCCAACCTCCTAGAGGAGGCCAAGTCCCCCAACACTGAAGACCCAAAACTATACTCCTGTGACCAGGAGGATTCTTGAGAAATTGGGTGGCCCAAGTCTTGCTCCCAAGATCCACGAAGTGCAAGATTCCAGTCCTGAGAAGGAAAATGTCCCAGTTTCCGGTGGCCAAAATTCTGGTCCCGGGAGTCTGTATGGGTTGCTTCCAGATCCCGGCCACATTCTTTGTGAAGATAGCTGTCCTCAACGATGGACTGACTACTCGATCTGAAGGAGGGTCCCACGAACATGTCACCTCTCAGGCCCTCTCTCCCCAAGTCTAGTGAGTATACGCCAGATCCACTGGCAGAGTACCTGCTATCACCATGAACATCCTCGTAGACATCTGCTCTAGCTCTTGAGCCTGTTCTTAAGAGATCTGAAATAGATGGCAACAGACAGTCAGAAGACACTTTAGAGCATGGGCTGCAAGGGAATGGCCCATACACTAGCCAACACAAGTTCTTTATATTCCAAGTGTGAAGTGCAAACATTGTTTAAAATTGGTAAAGGCATCTGGATGGCTTAGTGAATAAAGTGCAAGTATGTACTTGTCATGCAAGTATGAGGACATGAGACCAGATCCCCAGAACCCACAGTAACACCAAGCAGGTGTAGTTGCCTGTAATCCCCCATGCTCAGGAGGCAGAGATATGGGATACCCAAGGCAAGCTTGTCAGCTAAAAGGCCAAAATTGGTGACTTTGGGTTCTGAGCAAGAGACCCAGTTTCAATAATGAAAGTGGAGAGTGAGTGCCTAGGGAAGACATCTGCACACACTGAGCACAAAGAGGTACACAGGTACCACACACACACACACACCCCACACAGAGTGAGACAGAGAGCAAAGAGAGAGAGGAGAGGGAGAGAGAACAATAAAGAAAATGTGAGTGGTGCCATCTCTAGCCCACTGAGAACTGCAGCCACACATTCAACCAAGAGAAAAAGTACCTGGAAAACATGCACCTGCATTCCCTGGGTGGCTTTTCAGCATTCTCCTTATACAACAATGTGGATCACTATTGCCACAGTGCATTTAGCTGCATTTGGGGGGGGATTCAAAATGTAAGGAAGACATGCACATTTCCAAGCTATGCAGATACCACCATGCTATTACATTGAAAGGGGGAAGCATCTTCCAAGCTTGCACTATGTATGTGCTGGGGAACCCATGTCCTATGGGCACTGAGGAGTGATCATACTTACCAAGTCAGGTCTGTAAGCACCAGGCTTGTGCTTGCCCTTGTGGACATCAGCCAAGGCAGCACAGTGGGTAACCCCACAGGCACACATTAGCATCAGACAGAGGCTCTCAACCTCACCACCAGCCATCACCTCCATCATCATTCCATTTTAGAGAAGGGGCTTGCATTCTATACAGCCTGCATCTTTTGCCATACCCAGTCCACTTGAGGGGTTCCATTTCAATCCTATAAGTTTTATAGAGGCTGCCACTCTCACTGCCTCCTAGGGGACTTCATGTTCCACACTGCCATTGGAAGGCAGCAGCCTTGACCCATGTTACATCCATAACAGCAACAACCTGACATCTTACCCCAGTTTGGTAGAAAGGTCATTAACCCTGTCTCTGGGGCTGAACCAGAGACAGAGCAGGTAAGAATAGAAGGAGCATACTAAATGGGGCTATGACGGACAGTGGAGTGTCAACCAGGATGGGAGGGAGTGCATAGACATTGTTGTACTTACTTGTGCACACAGAAACACTGAGAAGTTGCCTACAGAAGCCATCTATGGCAGTAGCAGGCCTCAGACAGCTTTCTCACAGTTAAAATTTTAAACAGAATCTACAATAAAGGGGAAAAAAAAAAATCTGACAAAAAGGGACCCAGGTCTGGTAGCAAATACCCAAAGGCCAGCATTTAGGAGACAGGAAGAGGAGGACTGAGAGTTCAGGGGTAGCTGGGCTACACAGTAAGTTGGAGGCCAATCTGGATTATAGAATGAGGCTTTGGTGGAGAGGAACTAGGGAGATGTAAGTGCTTGTTACTTACACTTACAAAAAAGAAGAATTGAGCCAGGCATTGGTGGTATATGCCTTTAATCCCAGCACTCCGGAGGCAGAGGCATGCAGATCTCTATGAGTTGGAGGCCAGACTGGTCCACAGAGCAAGTTCCAGGACAGCCTCCAAAAACAATACAGAGAAACCCTGTCTTGAAGAGCACCCCCCCCCAAAAAAAAAAAAAAATAAAAAAGGAGAAGGGCCGGGGAGGCAAAGATCTCAGGGCCAACTGGGCCAGCTAATCTAGCCACATCAGCAAGCTCCAAATGTCTCAAAAAGCAAGGTGACACCAAAGAGATGGTAAGAGTACTCACATTTACAAAGGACATGGGTTTTGTTCCCAACCCACATTATACAGCTCACAACTGCCTGCAACTGCAGTTCAAGAAAGCTGATGCTGCCAGGCAGTGGTGGGTAGTACACACCTTTAACCCCAGCACTCGGGAGAAAGAGGAGGTGAATGCCCGCAAGTTTGAGGCCTGCAAGTTTGGTCCACAGAGTGAATTCCAGGATAGCCAGGGCTGCACAGAGAAACCTGTCTCAAACAACCCACCCTACCCCCCCCCAAAAGAAGGAAAGCTGACTCTTCTTCGGCACTCAGTTGTACCTCAGGTGTACTTATCCACACAGACACACAAATGTGTGATCTAAAAATAAATATTTAAAAAGCAAAACAGAGTGGAAAGTGATGAAGGAAAACACCAGATGTCAACTTTTGGTCACCAGACACACACATGCTTGTGCACCCCCCACATAAACACAAATATGAACACATGTATACACCCCCCAAAAAAAATCAAGAAAAGGGACAGGTACCAAGAAGCACAATAATGGAAGAAAACACAAAAATCCACACTCCTGGGGAAATACAAATTTCGCTCTTCAGCAAGCACTTACTATGTATATACTAGGCACTGCCGTTATTGAAGAGAAGGAGATGGATCAGTGGCAGAGCCCTTGTTTAGCAAGTTTCTAGCCCTGGGTTTCACCCTAAGTGAAAACACCGCATACATACCCACCCACTACTACCTCACCGCCATGCACGTATATTCACACACTGGGGGAATGTGGGTCTAAGAAGGGTGATCCAATGGGCAGGAACACAGTGAGAAGTGGCATCCTCAGGCACTCTCACCATGTGTGAAGTGGCAGCACCTGGTGTTAAGGGCTATTGTGGGGTGGGAGGCTCAGCATAGATAAGAAGTTCCACCAACAGGATACAAACTGATTTCCCTCAGAAATCCCTCAGGCCCTGACTGTTGTAGTCTTGGTGCAGTCAAGGTGGAAAAAAATGTCCAGTATAGAGCAGAAGCCTAAAGAAAGGAAGGGTGAGAGACCACACAGCTTTGTTCCAGTACCTTCCAGCTCACTTACTCTAAGATTACTGTTTCTCTGCCAATCAGTTTTTCTTTCTCTCTGTTTCTTTTGAGGCAGGTTCTCACTATAAAGCCCAAGCTGGCCTCAAACTCACAGGAATCCTTCTGCCTCAGGTTCCTCAATATGTAACACAATGCCCCAGTGGGTCTTCTGGAGGAAATTAAGATGGATGTGTGGAGGCTGAGGACATGGTTCAATGGGTAAGAATGCTTGCTATGCAAGCAATGAGGCCCCAAGTTCAAGTTCCTTCATCCACAAAAAGCCGGGCATTTTGTAACCCAAACACTGACAGGCAGGGTTATAAAAGGGAGGCAGTCTTAAAGTCTACAAAGTTTACACTATATTTCAGTCCCAGCCAGTTTGCTGGAGGCTGAGGCAGTGTCTTAAAAGAGGGACAGGTGTTGAGATGGCTCAGTGAGTAAAGGCACTTACCACAAGCCTGACTGACAACTGAGTTCGATTCCTGGAACCCACATAGTGGAAGGAGAGAATCAACTTCTGTGAGCTGTCCTCTGACCTCTGTGTGTGACTGCATGTGCACACACATACACACATAAAGGAACCTTCTGTAGAGGCTAGGGTGTAGTCAGTGGCTGACTGTGTGCTTTATCCCCAACACCAAACACCCTCAAATTCTTTTACATATTGACAACAGCACCTTCTGCACACTGATTTAGTTGGCAGACAGGCTACAAGAAAATGTGATCTCCTGACAAATCTAGCAAGGATTAGAGTAGCTTGGCTGGCACCCTCCTGAGAATCTTAACTTACCTTGAGCTTTAAGCTGGAGAGCTTCGCTGACAGCCTCAGAATCCCCGTACCTTTTAGATTTCTCCTGTAATACAGTGTCCAAAGATTCCTGTGCCATCCGCCGTGCTGCCATGTTTCCGTCTCCTACAGCGAGAGAAGCCACACTAATCAAGACAGCTTGCTTCAGGGTAAAAATCATTACCAAATAAAGGGTAAACAGAACTGGAAGAATGACCTAGAAAAAGGTATTTGGGGAAGGGGTGACCACCTTGACTTCAGTTTGGAGAAGGGCTTCCCAGAGCTCACTTCACCCTGAGAACTCTCTGGATGAGTGAATATTCTCACAAGGGGACAATAAGCTAATAACTGTACAGTCTGAGCTAGTCTCAGTGGAAGAGATCAATCGCTTCTTTCAATAACACACCAAAGAGCAGCATCTTTTTAGCACAGAGCTGAGCAGCAGAGGAGGAACTGGGTGTGAATGCTGCAGGCCAGTGATGCCAGCACTTAGGAATCTGATGCAATGGGATTTTCACTTCCAGCTCAGCCAAGACTATATGAGAATTTGGAAAAGGGCTGAGGGACTGGAGAAGTGGCTCAGTGGTTAGGAGTGTTTGCTGCTCTTGAAGAGTCTGAGTTCAGTCCCCAGTACACACATTGGGCAGCTAACAATTACCTACAACTCTTTTGGCTTCCACTGGTACCTGTACCTACTTGCCCCTACCTAGCCCAATAAATAAAATCTTCAAAAGTGGGGGGCTCCAATGACTTGAGTGCAATCTGGCATCTGCCAAATTGTCTTCTAATTTCCCATGTGCTCTGGTAAATATGTAACTAGAAATACACAAAATTAAGAAGACAAAAGTGGGGCACAAGGACACATGTGCCTATAATCTCAGTGCTGATGAAAAGGAGAAAGGAGGATCCTTGGAGTTGGTGGCCAGCCAAACTAGCCAATCCATAACCAGACATCAATTTCTGCTGCCCCCCAAGATAGGACCTAATGGTATGCACATGTAACCACTGCTATTTAAGGGGCTGAGCAACAGCTTAAAGCCTGTGTGGGCTGCCTGTTCAGGCCAGACTACACTACACAGCAAAACCCAGTTTTGTGTGTGCATGTTTTGTTCTTTTGTTATTACATATGAGAGCAGTCCTTGCTGGCACAGGCCCTGAACTGTGCTCCTCCTGCTTCCCCCTTCTGAGTACTAGGATTCCTGGGTCTATGGAGACCCTGTCCTTTTATTTTATTTACTTTCTTTCTTTCTTTCTTTCTTTCTTTCTTTCTTTCTTTTTTTTTTTTTTTTTTTTTTTTTTTTGTTTCAGGGTAGAGTAGAAGGGATTCTACTCCAAACACATATGGCTTGAAACTTAACATGTACACTAGGCTGGCATCGAAAAAGTGCAGTGTTCCTCTTCTCTCTGCCTCCTCAGCACTGGAATTACAGGTGTAAGGTGTATGAGACCCTGCCCTTTTTTTTTTTTTTTTTTTTAAGGCAAGAAAGGAAAAGACATTGGGAGAAAAAGCAGACTTGAAGAAGTGAACCAACAAAAGACAGGTACCTTGGTCTTGAACCCGACCAACTGGGTAGATTCTCTAAGTAGGAAAAAAACTAGGCAGCATTTCTATCAGTGACAGCCTGCCTCATGACACTTCCAAATTCAAGAGACAAACCTGCCTTCTGGTCATTTCTATAATCATCACCCAGTTTCCCCAGGCCCTGGGAAAACAAGTGGGCAGCCCTTGGGTCGGTAAAGGGCAGAGTCTCCGGGTCAGGTGATACTGAGATCTAATCAAGGTATCTAATCTGTCTGCACCTCCATTTCCCCACCCAGCTACAGGGGCAGCAGTTCCCAGCAGCTGGAGGCCTGATGCAAAGCCTGTCCACCATTACGCCCAGCTTGCCCGGACAGCTGTGAGCTCCAGCGGAATGAATGGACGCGAGCCCGGGCCAAGAAACGCGCTCGCTCGGGGCCCACCCGGAGTCCTCCCCATCCCGGGGCCCGCCCTCCCTGGTCGCCAGGGCCCAGGCCTCACCCCGAGCGGTGCCGCCCCCGCAGCCGCTTCAGGCTCCTTACCCACCGCCTCGCAAGGCGGGGAGATGCAAATGAGCCAACGGTTTCCGCAGCGCCGAGTTGCGCAGGCGCAGGCCACCGCCTCGCGTAGGTGCGTAAGCGCTAGCTGCCACCGCCTAGATCCTCACGCGCAGACGTCGACAGCAGCCACCTTGGTTCTCTCGCGCAAGCGCGCTGCTCGCTTCTCAGGGCGGAGTCTACCGAGGTGAAAACTCTCTCTTTTGAGGGGATAGCGATAACTAGAAGACACTCGGAAAATTCGGCGAGGGCTCCAGAGGCACGCGTACTCTTGTCTCCCTTCGCTTTACCTGTGCTCACGGTCTCCCCTGCTACCCAGGGAGGGAGCTTCTCGGCTGAGGGAGGGACGTCAAGGCTAAGCGGCGTCTCTGCGCTTGCGCGCATACAGTGGCCGAAAGGAGCCAAAGGCGGAGCCTCGGGCGACGACTGCGAACCCCACCCTCGTGACTGCGTAGACCCGGTGAGCAACGCCGGCCACCCTGGCCCTGTGGTGGGCGCAGCTGGGAGCTGGTCTCTTGGGCTCGGGCTGGTGGTCTCTGCGTGACCCTTAGGGACTTGGTTTGGTGGAAGGAGAGAACCGTACCAAAGATTGTTGGGAACCACCTCGCCTCTCTGGGGTGCACGTTCATTTTATTCATTTGTGCTGCAGCTGTGTACTGTGCACCTTGCATTCTAGGCAGTGGGGCAAGGAGGACAGGACGTACACGACAGTCAGTGTGTCTCTGGGTTCAGGGGAAGCCGGTCCTGCTGTGAATATAATGGTGATTGCTTCATCTGTCATGTCTGCTCACGGGAGGCAGAGGCAGAAGGACTGCTGTGAGTTCGAGACCTGCCTCGGCTACCTAGCCAGACCCTGTTTCAGAATAAAAATAATCGAACAAAACAGCAAGAACAGGCGTTGTGTTGAGTTCGAGAAGCGGAAGCAGGAAGATTGCTGCGTGTTCCATACCAGTTTGGGCTACCGAGCCTGACCCTGCCTCAAAAACAACAAATAACCAGGGGTTTGTTGGAAGAGTCTGGAGAATCAGGAGTTCATGTACAGCTTTAGCTGCAAAGCCAGTTAGAAGACAGTCAGGTCTGCATGAAGTCCTATCTTATAAAAAAACGAAAACGGAGGAAATAATTGAATGGGAGAGTAGGGATGCTTGAACAAGGTTGTTTTTGTTTCACCTTTTTTTTTTTTTTTTTTCTTTGAGACAGGGTCTCACTATGTAGAGCAGGCTGGTCTGGAATTCACAGCAGTCTACCACTTATGTCTACAGTGTGCTGGGATTAGGTTTGTTTGTTTTTTGTTGTTGATTTTCAAGACAGGGTTTCTCTGTAGCCCTGTCCTGGAATTTGCTTTGTAGACCAGGCTGGCCTTGAACTCAGAGATTAGCCTGCTTCTGGTTTACTCATGCTTTTTAATAATAGTAGTAATAATAATAATAATAAACTTTTGAATTGTCTTTAATATTGTTATTATTTGTAGTGTGTGTGTGTGTGTGTGTGTGTGTGTGTGCATGCTATGAGAAGGTGTCATGTATCCTGTGCTGGGGTTACAGGTGCCTGTGAACTGCCAGATGTGAGTGCTAAACTGAACTCCAGTCCTCATGATAGAGCAACGTGCCTTCTTAGCCTTGAGCCTTCTCTGCAGCATCTCAACTTCCACACTCTTTCTTCTAGATAGTCTCACTCTGTAGCTCAGACTGGCCTGGAGCTTGTGGTCCTCCTGCTTCAACCTCAATGCTTGGACCACAGGCTTGTATCATGAGGCCTAGCTAACCACACATACCAGTGTGTGTGTGGATTTTAGATTTTATTTTCACACATTTACTTACTATGTGTGTCATATGTACCATGGCCCACACATAGAGCTCTTGTGGAATCAGCTCTCTCCTTTCACTGTGTGGGGTACAGGGATGAGCTTTTGTTTTTTTCTGAGGCAGCTTGTAGCCCAGGCTGAGCCTGAGCTGCTGACCTTCCTGCCTCAACCTCTTCTGTGCTGCTACACTGACTGGTTCATGGTTTTAAATTGTTATAAAGAACAGTATCAGGAGAGCATGATAGCATTGATTATGGACTGTGTATTAGAAAACAGTATTCAGGCCAGTGAGATGGCTATTGTGTTAAAGTACTTAACTGCCAAACCTAAGTGCTGGGGCAGCACCCTGGACCCTTCTGCACTCTTGGAAGCTCTGAGGAGAGGCCAGGGTGATCTAGGTGAGAAGAGTGTTCTCATGGTTGTCATTATCGTGGCCTGGTAGACCACATAAGTAGAAGTGGCCTTATCTTCTTTCTCCTTTTGATTTTTGTTGTTGTTGTTTTGTTTTGTTTGTTTGTTTGTTATTGTTTTGGTTTTTTGAGACAGGGTTTTTCTGTATTGTTTTGGAGCCTGTCCTGGAATTAGCTCTTGTAGACCAGGCTGGCCTCGAACTAACAGAGATCCACCTGCCTCTGCCTCCCGAGTGCTGAGATTAAAGGCTTGTGCCACCAATGCCTGGCTTCTCCTTTAGTTTTATTCATTTTGTTTTCTATGTGTGGGCATGCAATACCATGACCTGAAAAAAAAGTCAGAAGACAGCTTTTGGGAGTCCATTCTCTTTACTGTATTGGTTCTTAGGACTGAGCTTAGGTCTTCAGACTTGGTAGCAAGGACCTTTACCCACTGAGCCATCTCACCAGCAGCCCTTTTCTTTCTCCATTTTGCTTTGTAGTCCAGGTTGGCCTCCCATGGCCAGGACCCTTGCGTCTCTGCCTCCCTAGTGCTGTGATCACAGGTGTACATAAATGGCATTTTCACCACTAGGGTAGCCAGACCATCAGTTGCCTGCTGTCCCCTGACCAAGTGTTCCTTTCCATTTAGCATGCAGAGATGGCTTCCAAGCGCATCACACAGGAAACCTTTGATGCTGCAGTGAAGGAGAATATTGAGGAGTTTGAGATGGGTGCTGAGGAGGCCGTTCGAGAGGCTGTGGAGCAGTTTGAATCACAAGGTAGGGTGGTGGACTAAATACTGGCTCTTAGAGGCCACAGCCCTCAGTCTGACATAAAAGTGGGATGCTACTGACTCCATTCCTGCCTGTCTCCATGCATCACCAGCACTCCACCTCACCTTTAATACGACACGTCCTGGAATCAGTGTGATTCATGGAGGAGAGTAGGTGGTACGGCTACTGGGTGACAGTGGTGGCGCTGGTAGGGTTTGGAGATCTTGTGCCACATGGCAAGGAGCAGAAGCTCAAGATGAGTGTAGCCGAGTGTGTTCCAGGCTGTTGGTGGAGGCCAGGTGCTAGATAGGCATGACCTCACTCATTCCCTCTTGTTATTGGTCTTAGTCTAGCTCTATATTAGACCAGTGAAGTCAGCTAGAAGGTAAAAGAGAAGGTCTGCCTCCAGGACACAGAAATGGGGAGCGTGACTGGAGAGGTAACTCAACGATAAAATACTTGCCGAGTTTGCCTTGAGTTGGTCCCCAGAACCTACAATAAAAGCTAGCCGTGATAGGGTGTGTTTGTTTTTGTTTTCTTGGAGGGTTGTTTGTTTATTTGTTTGGGTTTATTTTTTGTTTTTGGTTTGGGGTTTGGGGGTGGCTTTGGAGGGAGTGTTTGAGACAGGACTTCTCTGTGTAGCTCTAGCTATCCTGGAACTCATTCTATAGACTAGGCTGGCCTCAAATGCACAAAGATCTACCTCTTGAGTGCTGGGATTTAAGTCCATACCCCCACACTCACAGTGGCATGTGTTTGTAATCCCAGCACTGAGAGGTAGAGACAGGTGGATTGCTGGGGCTTGCTGGCCAGCCAGTTTAGCCTAATTGGTGAGCTCCAAGTTCCAGTGAGATCCTCCCAGTCTCAAAAAGGATTACAGCTCCTGAGAAATGATACCTGAGTTTGACCTTAGGCCTCTATGACCCTTGCTCAGGAATACCCCCCTGCCACATGACTATCCACACACACAAAACCCCCCACATGACCATCTGCACACACATGAATACCCTCCACCTGATCCTCTCCACACACATGAACACCTGCCCACATTACCATCCATACACTCATGAACACCTGCATACACCAACACATGCACATACACAAACATAGTCATGAATACAGTATCCAACAAAACACAGCATGGTGGTACATGCCTGTGATTCCCACTCTTCCTTTCTTATTATTACTTTTTTTTTTTTTTTTGCTTTGTTTTTTTAAGACTGATTCATATAGTCTAGGCTAGCTTCCTAACTCATTATGTAGCTAAGGCTACTTGAACCCTGGTCCTCCTGCCTCCATTCCCCAATTCTGGGATAACAACCGTGCAGCTGCTCTCACTCCTCGGGAAGCTGAGGCAGGAAGATTACTTTGAATTTGAGGTCAGCCTAGGCTACATAACAAGATACTATCTCAAAAACTCTTAACCCCAGTATTTGAGAGATAGAAGAGTGTAGATCTCTGCCAGGCAATGGTGGCACACAACTTTACTCTGTGAGATCGAGGCCAGCCTGGTCTACAGAGTGAGTTCCAGGACACCTAAAGCTACACAGAGAAACCCTGCCTCAAAAAAACTAAAAAAAAAAAAAAAAAAACAAAAAAAAAACATAGACATCTATGGGTTTGAGGCTATCCTTCCTAGTTTGCATAGTGGTTCAAGGCCACCCTGGTCTACATAGTGAGACTATCTCAAAAACAAGCAAATAAAAAACCTCCTAACCACACATACATGCACGCACATATGCATGCGCCACAGCAGGGATGCCTTTGGGGCTTCAGAAGGCTGAGAAGTAGATGGGACCAGAAAGGCTTCAAGTTCAAAGGGAGAGGCTCTGAGGGTCCCCTCCTCATCTGTCTGTCAGGCAGAATCAGCCACCTCACTACCCTGAGACAGCATGTGTGGCATGGCCTTACTTGGCAGTGGTGGCACACTCATGCTATGCAGCCTGTGGCTGGCCTGTGCACCTGGAGGGACCATTGGGAAGAACCCTGAAAGTGGGCCTTTGTTGGGAATCTCCTAACCTGAGGTATTTGAGGGGCAGGTGTCACCTGTCTCCCTGTCTCCACCAGCCCCACCTTCCCTCTGCAGGAGTTGATCTCAGTAACATTGTGAAGACAATACCGAAAGCGTCCTGGGACAGTCTCCAGGAGTCCACACATGATGTCCTGCAGGTAGGAGCAGCTGTCTGTCTCCCTCATCACTGGAAAGAATGGTCTGGAGGGTCTCTTCTCCATATGCCCCATGTGGCTGAAATCAGGATCTGATTGTCAGTACATCTTGTGGCCAGTAGAGGTCCACAGTCATGTGTCCCAAGTCCAGTGTGAGAGCAAGCACCCAGCCTCTGAGGACAGCTGAACCTCTTGGAGGACATGTTGGAGACACACAGTACAGGTGTGATCTCACTGCCCAAGTTCTGGGGTCAAGGGCACACAATATAGCAAGGGTCTCTGGCCAGCTTTGCGTGGGTTCTGGGGATCTGAACTCATATTTTTGTGCTTACACAGCAATAACAGCAGCAAAATCTTTTTTGTTTGTTTGTTTTGTTTTTTAAAACCAGTTTCTCTGTTGTACTGGAAAACTTGCTGTAGACCAGGCTGGCCTCAAACTCAGAGATCCACCACCTGCCTCTGCCTCCTGAGTACTGGGATTAAAGGCGTGCACTACCACACCTGGTTGGGGGCAAGGGCACAGGGCACATATACTGAGATGTACATATAAAGGTCAGAGAACAACTTTCAACAATTTGTTGTGTCCTTCCCCTTTGTGCATCCTTTCATAGGAAGCACCTTTACCTCCTTGACTTACTGTTTTAATCTTCTATTCCTTGTAACATGCTCTGCCAAGGTTCCTAAGTTTGGCTTGGGCAGGGCTGCAAACAGACATCTCTACCTGACTTGTTAGCTAAGTTCAAGCCAAATCGCCTAGTCTGCTAGTTTCAGCTGAGCCTCCCTTTCATGGGTGTGTTGCCAGCAACCTCAGCTTAGCCTTGGTGTACATTGTGGCACATCCTGAGGTCATGCCAGTTGCCACCCAGAGTGTGTTTATTTTTCTTGTAATTCTCCAGATAGCTTAGAGCTGCCGATGTGTGTGATGCAGCTTCACTGGGCTGGGTAAATATCTGGAGACTGGATGAGAAGGAGCTGTCCAGATGGGCAGGTTCTCTTTTCAGAAGCACTCTGTGGTCAGTTACTCTACATCAAGTCCTTGCAGCAATCATTTGAGAGATTCTAATGACTTTTATCTACTGCTCTTGTTGGGCGCTGCTTGGTGACTTTAGCGTCAGACCAGTGTGTTTCTACTCACATGTGCAACTGCTTAGCAGAATTACTGAGGTGGCTGGCACTTCTCTGTGTGACCTTGGTACACAGGATTCTAAAACCACTAGTGTGGAGCAGTAATAGAGCAACGTCTAACATGCAGGTCCTGGGTTCTATCCTCAGTTCTATTGCTGTCAATAGGGCTCAACAGGAAAAGGCGTTTGTCATCAAGTCTGATGACCTGAGTTTGATCCCCAGGAATCTTATTCCCATAAGTTGTCCTCAGCTCTCTGCATGTATGTTGTGGGATATGTATGGCTATGTATGATATATAGGTAATTTTTTTAAAATAAAAAATAGTTGAGGGCTGAGGATGTTTGTAACTCAGTGGTAGAGCACTTTCCACTGCATGAAGCCCTAGGTTCAATCCCCAGTTCTTAATCCCCAGCAGAGAAGGGCTGAAGAGCTGGTTCTGTGGTTAAGAGACTGGCTGCTCTTACACAGGACTCAGTTTCCAGCACCTACATGGCAGTTTACAACCATCTGTAACTCCAGTTCAAGGGATGTGACACCCATAATAAAATATAATAAAAGTTGTTCTTTTTAGTAAAGTGATTATATGGCGGCTCATACTTGGGATCCCAACTGTTGCAGGGAGCTGTTGCAGGAGGTTTCCTATGAATTCAAGGCCAGCCTGAGCTATGTATCAAGGCACTGTCTTGGCACTGAAGAGATGGCTCAGCAGTTAAGAGTACTTGGTGCTCTTACAGAGGACACAGGTTTAATTCCCAGCACCCACAACAGCCTATAACTCCAGCTCCAAGGGATCCTACTTCCTGTTCTGGTCTCTGAGAATATTGAGCACATGCACATTTGAAAGAAAGAAAGAAAGAAAGAAAGAAAGAAAGAAAGAAAGAAAGAAAGAAAGAAAGAAAGAAAGATCCTGTCTTAAAATAGCAGTATAGGCAGCCAGGCAGTGGTGGCGCATGCCTTTAATCCCAGCACTCTGGAGGCAGAGGCAGGTGGATCTCTGTGAGTTCGAGGCCAGCCTGGTCTACAAAAGCTAATTCCAGGACAGGCTCCAAAACCACAGAGAAACCCTGTCTCAAAAAACAAAAACAAAAAATAGCAATATAGGCATAGAAAATTCCAGATGGATCTAGCCATCTTGTGCCCAGATTCTGGGGTGAGGCTTTCTCATGCACGGTTCAGAGCCTAGCAGCCCCAGCTAACATCTTGACATTCTCTGTAGGCTCTTAATGATCTGCAGGAGGCTGTGACTGAGTTTCGGCCCCAGGAAATGTCTACCCACCTTGCCCGCTTCTGTGACCAGTGCAAGCAGCAAAAGGCCAGCCGGTACCTGGCAGCCCAGAAGGGAGCCTACCCAATCCTCTTGGCCGCCTGGCAACTTGCTGCCACAAGCGACCAGGGCCTTTTGCTCCAGGCTCTCAATGCCTTGGCAGTGCTGACTGATGGCCAGCCTGACCTCCTGGATGCCCAGGGCCTGCAGCTGCTCGTGGCCACGCTGGCACAGAATGCCACCAACACTAAACTCACCTGCTGTGGGATCCGCTGTGTGCGCCATGCCTGCCTGAAACATGAACAGAATCGGCAGAACCTGGTGAAAGCCGGAGTATTGCCCCTGCTAACTGCTGCTATCACACAGCATGGCCAACATGCTGATGTGGTCAGGGAGGCTTGCTGGGCCCTGCGTATCATGACCTTTGATGATGACATCCGAGTGCCCTTTGGCCATGCCCATGAGCATGCCAAGATGATTGTTCAGGAGAACAGAGGCCTGAAGGTGCTCATTGAGGCTGCCAGAGGTAGGAGCAGCATTGGTAAGAATGCAGTGGGTAGGCCAACAGGGTGACCCAACCATATGCCCCTACCTAGTGAGGGACTTGGAGTGTGACTCCTGGTGGTGCCCCTGCCTAAAATCCCCCAGTGAGGGGCTGGGAGCAAAGCTCAGAGTGGAGCCCCTGCTAGAATCCTCCCAGTGAGGGGCTGAGGGTGTGGTTCAGAGACCTGCCTGTTCTTCCCAGGACTATAAATCTAACAAAGCAGCCCTACACTTTTGTCATGTATAAGTATTTTGGCAAGTACATGTGTCCTGCTTCAGGTGGCTGCTATGAGTCAGCTGTGGGCAGTCATGTTGAACTTCATATCTTAAATCTTCTATCTTCCAATCTGTCCATTTATTTGAAATGTCTGAAAGAGCTGGCTGTTGTGGTGTTGTGGTGACACACACCTTTAGTCCCAGCACTCTGAAGGCAGAGGCAGATGGATCCCTGTGAGTCAAGGCCAGTCTGGTCTACAGAGCAAGTGTCATTCCCAGCTAGGAACTTCAAGGTCATGTTGAAAAACTTATTCTGGTAGTTTGATGTCCTTCCTTCCTTCAAGACTTTCACTATGTAGTCTTGGTACTTGCTATGTGACCAGGCTATCCTGGAACTCACAGCGATCCCTCTGCTTCTCCCTTGAGTGCCAGGATTCATGTGTGTGCCATGTGCAGGCTAGACTTCTTTGCTTAGGGGTTGCCAGAAGCAGCTCTGTAGTTAGTTACCTCACTGTGATGGAGCAGTTTCTATAGCTGCTGCCAGGGGGCATGGCAGGACCAGCCAGGGGATAATTCTCCCTGTGCCTGTTGGATGGCCCCAGCCAGCTTGTGAAGTGGGGAGTTTGCCCAAGACTAACATTTGTTTGTCCCTAGTCCCTTCCAACTCCAACTCTCACTTATGCCTCTGCACAGCGTTCCCTGACAACCCGGGAGTCCTGAGCGAACTCTGCAGCACCCTGTCTCGCCTGGCTGTGCGGAATGAGTTCTGCCAGGAGGTCATCGACCTTGGAGGCCTTGGCATCCTTGTGACTCTGCTGGCTGACTGCAGTGACCACCAGGTGGAGCCCAACATCTTCTTTCCCCAGGGCTCTTGCCCCTAAGGCCATAGCTGGCCAGATCCCACTGAGGAGAGGGCAAGGGTGACATATTATTTTGGGTTCAGAACGCCCATCCATACATACTCTGAGGTTCTGGTTCAATTCTGCCTTTTTTTTTTTTTTTTTTTTTTTTTTTTTCTTGTTTCCCTACAGTGGTGAGACTTTAAAGCCCCCTGCATGCTAGCCCTCTGCCACCAAATCACACTGTAGCGCTTTTTACTATCTTTGAGACTGGTCTTGTTCTGCGGAGCCCAAGCTGGTTTGATATTGTAATCCTACTTACTTCCAAAAACAGGCTGTGCGTGTGCATGCATGAGCACGTGTTTGCATGTGTGTGTGAGAGAGAGAAAGACAAAGTGAGGCAGAGACACAGGGTCTCATGTGGCCTTGAATTTGATCTGTGTGTGGTATCTTGCCCGGGCTCAATGTGCCTTGATATGGGTGCTAGAACTCAGGGCCTTGTGCATGGGGGCAAACACACAGCCAGCTGAGCCACTGCCCAGGTCCCTCTTGCACATTTTCTACAGTGGGCAGGAGTGAGGCAATGGAAATGACATCCTCAGTTCAGGCTCTCAGTCCTCTCCCTGGGCCACATTCCATCCCTACCCATGTCAGGTATGTCAGGCAGATCACCCACAAGACCCAGCCTGTTGTCCTCCAATCTTCCTTTCTCTGCATGGTGGGTCACTATCCTGTTGTCACAGGCCTGGGATGGCCACATGTATTCAATCAGAAACAGCCATAGAGATTTTTTCAAGACCCCTTCCCTCCATCCAGCAAGCAGGAGGCTTGCAGCTGGCACACAAGCCAGGGTGATCTAACCTTGCCCTCTATACAGGACCTTGTGAAACAAGTGCTCAGTGCCCTGAGAGCTATTGCAGGCAACGACGATGTGAAGGATGCCATTGTCCAGGCAGGTGGTTCCGAATCCATTGTGGCTGCCATGACCCGACACTTGGCCAGCCCCCAGGTACCCACCTCACTATCAACAAAACTAGGTGAAGGCCTGCAGTGTTCCTGGTAGGCTGCACCCCATCAGGTTCTCATGGGGTCAGTGCCCTCACCACCCCTAAGCATCCAGCCAGCAGAGGCCCTCTGAGGAGAGTTGCAGAATATCCAGGGTGGGGTGGCCAGTCATGCTGACACAGGGAGGTGGGAATCTGTTCATCTGTCTCAGTTGTCCTTCCACAATCAGGTTTGTGAGCAAAGCTGTGCGGCACTCTGTGTTCTCGCCTTACGCAAGCCTGAGAACAGCCGGGTCATTGTGGAGAGCGGTGGAGCGCTGGCTGCATTGCAGGCCATGAAAGCACATCCGCAGGAGGCTGGTGTCCAGGTGAGTGAAGGGTTGTGCTCACCATAGCCTGAGACTGAAGGCTCCCTCTCCTCGTTGTCTAAGTGTGTTGAGCCAGGTGTGGTAGCTATGATCCCAGTCCTCAAGAGGCAAGCTTGCCACAAATTCAAGACTTGCCTGCCTTACAGAATGAATTCCAGTGCCTGAGGTTTATATTTATCTCTTTTCTGTCTTTTTTGAAACATGGTCTAATGTAGCCCAGATTAGCCTCCAACATTTTTTTTGGCTATAAGAGTGACCTTCAACTCCTGATCTTCCTGCCTTCCCCTGCTGAGTGCTACAGTGACATGCCTGTGCCACCATACTCATGATGAGGACAGACCACATGCTAGGCAAACATTCTACCAACTGATCCCCACCCTGCTTTTCCTTTGAAACAGGGTATATAGCTCTATAGATGCATTAGGCCTGGCCATCGTGGTCCTATGTCCTATGTCCTCAGTGCTGGATCATCAGTCTATGCCATCATGTCTGACAGTCGCTGATAAGCATTGTCACCATGCACATGACATCCCCATGTAAACCAGTTCTCTGCAGACCCAGCTGTGGCAGATGGTACCTGTGCATTCAGGATTTTAAGATCCATGAAGGTTCCTGAAACCAACCCTAATGAGTGGCTCATTGAGAAGCGAACTTTGGCACTCCTTTACCCATGGCCTCACTGTAGCGTGTCCAGGGCCTGCTTCAGGAGACTATGAGTAGCTGAAATCAGTCTCTGTCCCAGGTACTTTCCTGAGTGCTCATCTAGGAGATGCAGTAGGTGAGGCTGAGAAGGTGAGAAGGCTGAGAACATGGGGCTAGCCTGGCCCAGCATAACTATCTATTGAAAGTCTGTCTCACGTTCTAAAGAGTACACTGAGGGCAGAGTGGACCCCAGGCAAACCCCATACTTCCCCATTCACAACACATCTCTTTTCCAGAAACAGGCCTGCATGCTGATCCGAAACTTGGTGTCCCGAAGCCAGGCCTTCTCCAAGCCCATCCTTGACCTGGGGGCAGAGGAGCTCATTTCACAAGCCCGAGCTGCCCACCCAGACTGTGAGGATGTGGCCAAGGCTGCATTGCGAGACCTGGGCTGCCGCGTGGAGCTTCGAGAACTGTGGACAGGAAAGAGGGGTGACCTGGCACCATGACCCTGGGTAGTGAGCTCTGACTCCAGAACATGGGAGCTCTGTGCCCTGCCACTCTGTCTGCATCCATGCCACCCAGAGAAAAAGTGTTCAGCAGATCAGTGGTGGGGAAAGGGCAGGAGCAGCCCTTGGGGCCTGTATCCCCACAGGCAGCAGTGATGACCTAGTGACCCATCCCTTCTAGTGCCCCTATCCCGCCCACAGTTTTTCTCGGCTGTTCCAGGGCAAAGGGCATATGAACTGCAGCACTATGTTGGAGTTTGGGGCCCCTGCAAGCCAATGTCCCGACAGGGTCAGCACTGGGCTGAAGTCCAGGCAATGCTCTAAGCTGTTGGTAACCCTGCTCCTTCAGCAGGCACTATGGCAGAGGTGCTTCCCCTGAGTTGCTTCCCCAAGATCTACATGGGTCCATATGGGGGCAGGGAACAGACTCCTGCAAACTGTTGTCTGAACTCCGAATGTATGCTGTGATGCTCACATGTGCACATAGTAAATGTGATTTTAACTACTCTACTCCTCATTTTTCTTAACTGTAAAATGGGCCCAGAACTCCTGGCAGAGTGAGGGATTTTGGACTCACCTATCATACTCTGCCCAGGTCCCCGATACTGCATCCAGCAGATGCAGCCTTAGGGGGGCTACTCATAGCTCTGTGGGGCCATGACTATGGCTTAAGAGAGAACAGAGCAGTGGACCCCTCAAGTTGCTATAGGCACTAGAGGTGCTTGGGGCATAGCCTGGACTACATAGGCCATTGAGGCTGGGGTCAGGGTAACTGTCTGCACAGGGGGATCAGAGACAGCACAGTCCCTGATGAGCTTTGTGGCTGTGAGCAGATAGTCTGACTTGTCAGAGGCTTGCTGTGTTTTTACACTTTGGGGTGTGTTGGGTGAGGAGGGAGCCAGGCATCATTGGCTCCAGTACCTGTCACCCCAAGAAGGGTAACATACCAGCCTCACCCTGTCATCCCTCACTGAGTATTAGGCAACCCATTTCTCTCTAAGCCTCAATTTCCCCATGCATGAAATGCATGCTGTTTTCACCATCTCAAATGCCCACACGACTTCCCCAATATTCTGCAGGTCTCTAAGCAGGTGAGATCACAAGTGGAAGTCACAGCATGGTCACCAAATTGCTCCTGAACTTATGTGGCCTATAGGGTTCAGAGTGGCCTCAGAATCTCCTACTCATACCTCATAGACTTCCCTTCCCCCTCATAGCTCTGGACCTAGTGTGCTTTTTCCAGAAGGCTCTTGGTTTCCATGGGAACCAGTCTTTGCTGCTGGCTGCTTTGATGTTGGGGAGAGGGTTATTCTTACTCAGTCACTCAGATGTCCAAGGCTCCCCGACTGGACAGGGAGAGGCCCTGCCAGCACAGACATGAACCTTGGACCAGGTCACCCCGCCCTTCTCCACACTCAGAGGACCTGTCAGGATGTAGGTGAAGGGCCTTAATCCCATTCTGGCTAGATTGGATGATTTAGTGTCTGGGCCGGTGATTTGTGTGGCCTTAGGCAGGCTTTAAACCCAGGGACACTCAAGGACTGGCCCTGTGATGTTCATTCCATCACACTCCCAGTCTAGCCCCTGGCTTCCCTTTGTTGTCCATTCAAAGGGATTTTGCAACCCACAGACCCTCCCCCCCCCACCTCCCACCATTTTCCCCTCAACTTTTTGCTTATTTTCCAGCCACCCCAGGCTCCTTTTGTTGCTTGTGTTTGTTTTGATATTTATGTGTATGTGTCAGGAGGCATGGAGGCCAGAAAAGGGCATTGAATCTCATGTAGCAGGAGGTCAGCTACAAGGAGCAGAGGTCACCTTGCTTGTGACTTCACACATTTGTCTCTCCCACCATCTGTGCATTCCTTGTGGGTGGCTCCTGTCCCCTAAGGAGCTCCAGCCTCCACTGAATGTCACCTAAATTACTTCAGCCTCACACATTCAGCATAGCAGAAAGCAGGAATCCACCCTCAGCTCCATCACTCTCTGGATTGCTAGCTGCACAGAACACTCTCCCTGGAGTGGAGCCGGGAGCTAAGTAACTCTTAGGCCTGGTGGAACCCCACTAAGGGTTGAAGACACCCCCTCCCCATCTCATTGTTCCTGTCTACAGAGGGCCACCTCAGGCCAGTCACTTCCCCTGCCTCAGCTAGATGTGTCACAGTCTCAACTCCCAGTGAATCTAGGAGAATGCCCCACAAGATGTCCCCTCCTTTGAGGTGGGTTCCTTCTGTTCCTTTGCCCTTGATGTCCTTTGTAATAGCATTGGAGAAGTGGGCTGAGGGAATCTACTGCAAGAATCTGTGTGTGTGTGTCTGGCCTGTCTTCTACTGCTATGTGTTTCTGGGTAAGTGAGCTGACTTCTCTGAGACTCATAGAATGAGTGAAATCACCATTATACCAGTCTCAACTCAAAGTCACCTTGACTGTGTTCAGGATGCCTGCAAACAGGGATCCACCTAGGATCCAGGGAATAGAATAGCATCACCAAGTTTGTATGGTTTTATTTCTTTGTATATTGAGACAGTCTCACCATGTAGCCCTGACAGGCTTGAGATTGCTATGTTGACCAGGATAACCCAAAGTCATAGATGTCCACCTACCTCTGAGTCCGCGGTGTGCCATCATGTCCAGCTATTTTTGTTTTGATTTTAAAGCACTTATTATCTTAATTATGTAATATGTGAGCTATGTACATGTGTGTGCAGATGGCTGTGGAGGCCAAGGCATCAGAGCCTCTGTAGCTGGAGATAGTTGGATGTGAGCCAGCTGATGTGGGTCCTTTGGAAGAGTTATATGTGCTCTCAACTACTTAGCCTTTTGTTTTTTTAAGACAGTCTCTCACATAGCAGAGAATAGCCTTGGACTATTAATCCTTCTGCCTCTGCCTCCCCAGTGCTGGAATCCCAGGCATTCTCCACTATGTCCTGCCATTCATACTTTCTCATTGTTTTTAAATCTTTGAGATACCAGAACCCTGAACCCCATTTCCCAGATGATATATATATATATATAGACTTGCGTCCATTCCAGAGGCTACATTGCACTGGGACCCTAGGTCCCTCTCTTGCCCCACCCCTCCTCTTCTTCTTTTATTAATTTTAAATAATTCATTTAGTATAACAACCACAGTTTCCCCTCTACTCTCCTCCTGTTCCCTCTCCCCACCTCCTTCCTACATCCCCATCCAATCCTCAGAAAGGATAAGGCCTCCTGTAGGGTGTCAACAAAGTCTGGAATATCAAGTTGAGGCAGAACTAAGCTACTCTGTCAGTCTAGAGCCCCTCCAGGAGCTCCCACAAGTTTGGGTCAACGGACCCCTCTTCTTTAGTCAACCTTGCCTTCCTTAATTTTGGGCAGATGATTTTTGGCTTTAGTTGACCCTGGGCCCTGGCCAATAGTAGATTAAAGACATGTCCTTGGGATTCCCAGAGGGAGAGGAAACAGGGAAAAGTAAAAACAGTGTCTTGCCTGAGGCCAAGCATTCAGAGAGGCTGCAGTCTCTGCCAAGTGCTCTCCACTTGGAGCCACAATGGAGTGTCAGCTGCTGCTGCCAAACCCAGATTCAGCCTAGTACCTCTGGCACCATTGGCAGAGGCAGTTCAATGCTGAACCACTGCCTGACCCTTGCCTCAGTTGGCATTGTCGGTAGGGAGCTATGAGGCCTTCCAGGAGCTTGCCTGCCTCCCTCCACCCATCCATCCATCCATACTTCCATCCATCTCTCCTTCTGTCCCTCTCTCCCTCTCAAAGCCCTGGTAGGACCAAAGTAAGGCTCTCTATTCTCTGGATGGGAACACCATTCTCTTTGCTTGGCTATTAGAAGGTGTTAGGGTTAAAGCCTGGGCTCTGGTGGCCCTAACAATTCAGGCTCAGTCATTCATCCTCAATGGTCCAATTAAATAGCCAAGTAGGTCTTGGGCTGGGGCTCTGTTGGATAGTGCTCACCTAGCCAGCCTGAGGTCCTGGTTTCCATCCTCAGCACCACATAAGTAGGCATGGTGGTACACACTTGTCATCCCAGCACTGAGGATGTTGAGGCAGGAGAATCAGGAGTTCAAGGTCATCCTTGGCTACAAGTCTGAGTACAGTGTATGCTATATGAGACCCTGTGTCAAAAATTAAACATGGAAGGCATGGCATAGTAGTGCAGGCCTTTAAATCTCAGCACTGGGGAAGCAAAGGCAGGTGGATCTCGAATTTCTGACAACCTGGTCTACATGGTGAGCTCTAGGCCAGCCAGGCCTACATAATGACACCCTGTTACATCAAAGGTACTGAGACAGATGGTTTTGTGGCTAACATAAAATTGTTGGGCATGGCCACAAGTGTTTGTCAGCCCAAGGATGAGCCAAGTGGGCAGAAGTAGGAGGATGTATGGGGCTTGCTGGCTATCAGCCCAGTCTGGAGATCCAGGTTCAGAGAGAGGTGGAGAACAAGTGTACAACCAGTGTACAACAAGACACTGGTTTTCTGCACAAGACTGCACACACTCACAAACAGGCAGTGAATGGCCACACTGCAAAGAGAGGAGCATGTGAAAAGTTCTGCTGATCCCCAAGTCCAGTTTTACCTTCAGAATTAATTTTTATTAATTTGTTTATTTTAATGTATTGTGAGTGTGAATCTCACATGACAGCTCATGTGTAGAGGTCAGAGGACAACTTTCAGGAGTCAGTTCTCTCCTTCCACTGTGTGGGGCCTGGGAACTGAACGCAGGTTGTCAGTCAGTCTTCAAAGACCCTCCACTGGTTGAGCTATCTTCTCAGAAGCCCAAGGTTCATGTTTAAATAGAAGGCAAGAGGTATATGCATAGTTAAATGGTCCTGTTCAGACAACAGTCCTGTGATTGACTCGTGGCTGTCTGAGCTCCATTGGCTCCTGCAAGGTGGTTGGTCTGACAGGAAGTTGGAACTGTGGAGTCTTTTCCAGAGGCAAGTTAACTTCCAGTTTGGCTACACCCCTAATTCAGCCTTCTTCTTGCAGAATGAGAGTCCTGGGGAAGTTTAATGTCTTGGAGTCCCTTGCTTAAATATTCTGATAGACAAGGAAAGGCACAAGTGTCTCTCGTGTGTGTGTGTGTGTGTGTGTGTGTGTGTGTGTTTGTGCGCGTGTGCACACACATGCCTACATGAGTTTACATGTGCTGTGTGTGTACGTATCTCTGGAATCCAGAAGAGGGCATCAGATCCCCTGGAACTGGAGCTACAGGTAGTTGTGCAGTGCCACATGAGTGCTGGGAACTCAGCCCACATCCTCTGCTAGAGCAGACAGTGCTCTTGACTTCTGAACCATCTCTCTGGCTCCCCAAGTGTATCTTTAGAATATCTTCATTCCTAACAGGAAGGCTGCAGTGAATTAATCTGTGGGATGTCCCACGGTGGCAGGCAGACAGTGGCTTCCAAAATGAGAGTCTGCATATTTGAACTTTAGGGATGAAGATTTGGGGAATTTACATAGCTCTGAAACCTGAGCCCTAAGTATTAAGCCTGCTTTATCCCAAAAT